CAAAAGTGACTTAACTGTAAAATTTATGTTTGAATTAATGGGGAATTTAGGTAAAAGTGAAGATTTCGAGTTAAAATCACCTCCCTAATCTGAGTAGGGGAGAAGTGACGGGTGGGATCATTCCAGCAACGTGTCCGACTTCACATGGAACAAAGGCATGGGTGTATGACACTCTGTTTTGGGGAATTCGTTTTATTTAACCCTTGCTTGTACCTTAAGCCTCCTCTGGAAGGCGCAAACACTGACTACCATACCAAGGTAATAGACGGGTGTGACATTGCATGTAGAGAAATTTCTTATCCACAGACGATATGTTGCATCAAAATCAAGGAGTTGGGCATTTTAGAAACTGTGGAATAGGTAATTGGCCTGCTGCAAGTCTTTCTGTTTAGTGTAGCTAAATCTGTTCAGGGAAGCGGTTCCCGAATCACCTCTGTCGTCGTCACAGTGCATGCCAGTCTGGACACTTTTTATTTAAGAGGGCATTTATAGAACTACAACATCATCATTGCAGAGGTTAAATCACAAGAGGCTTCGAAAGGCTGGTTTTCACCTCACGAATAAAAAATGAGGGCTTTGCAGTTCTCTCCAAGGACAAGGAACTGTGCGTTGCCTTGAGATGTGGATGCTTCCTCTGCTTTCCTATGCATAAGTATCAGTTGACACTTTTTACTTGTTTTAGTTATCAATTTCCCAGACCGATTTTCCTAATCCTCGTGATTCAATCCCCACGTATAAGGCATATCGCCCAGCTTTTGGTCAGATAGTCCTTCCAAATCAGAAAATCGGTCATATGTGCATTATGGGAGGCATTGTTAACCACACTCAAATTACATTATTTTCAATAGACTTTTGGTTGTCAATCCTACCGGCATAGGTATGATCCTTTGAAAGTGTAAAACAAATTAGGCGGACTTCCACAATGCACATATTATCAAAACGATAAAAAGAAGTCTGTTAATTGGGTTGTGAAGTAGCGTTCTCGCTTCGCCTTCAAATTCCCTGCATGACAGACGTAAATGAAAGGTCAGACGAGGCCTTAATGACTTTCTGACTGGCAAATGGTGTGTTCTTCACTGTGCGTGTTTTGGCGCGCTGATACGGACGCAATGCGTGTGTGTGGAGTCCCTCTAATGCCGTTTTTCCACGCCTGTACATCGCCTTGAGGTAAACCGTCTTCGTGCCATCCACCATCAGGCCTCACATCCAATTGGGTTTAGTGTTCAAAGGAGGTGACATATCTTCCATCGCAGAAGTTAAAGTGCACAATCGAGCATGATCTGCAAAGTGACAGCACAATGTGCACGTGGATAAGACGAGCAGTGATTGTGATACAGATGTCAACCTTGAGAGTGGTCTGCATGAGTTGCCCAATTTAACTTGTAGTTCAAATTTATGCCGGAGTCATTGATGTCCAGGCACACCCCAAGGGCAGGCGTCTGTGTGATAGTCGCGTTTACGGCATAGGCAACCACTGCGGCTTCACTGCCCTTGACCGCAAGGCCACAGTCGGTAAGTAATTAGAACCACGGTCTCGCACTGCACAACTCTCGGTTTTACGCTTTTCGTTGAAAGTGCGTGTGGCATTGGTATCGCGGCTTACACTGCCTTCACTCCTTCGCAGTAGGAGAAGCTGTAACACCCCCCGAAAAGCCGAGTATGTCAGTCGAAAGGGGAAATAATGAAGCGACTTGCACTTAAATAATGCAACACGAGAAGGAGTATGTGAAGCATGATTACGTTTTTCAGTCGTGGAGGAAAGGCCGAAAGTGGACAGGAGGGACATCGGAAACAGTCTTGTTACTGCAGGAAGCAGCGGTAGGAACACAATGGAGAATCAATGACGCCGTGATTTGCAAGAGGCACTTCTTGTTGATCCTTCTGTCAAGGTACATTGCTGTAAGATGGCATCTAGAAGAGGAGTCAGTACTGTTTAAGGGAGAAATTGGGCAATGCTAAAAAAGGGACAACAGGGCATGCCACAAAGTGTGGTTTACATTGTTGAAATATGTTTATGAAAAGGAGTATTCACGAGTTGATTGACAAGTGGTTGAAAAATAAACAAGCCATATAGCAGTCTTTAATGGAAGGTCGAGGCTTGACGATTAAGCATGGAGAATAGGCAAAAAGAATTTGGACTTTGGCCTTCCAGTTAAAAGGAAGACAGTGGGGACACAGGGATGGCAAGTGAAAGCAATGCATTGCATGATTTTGTAAACACAAACTGACTTCCTCGATGCTAGTGGATGTGGGAAATGCTTACCTACTTACCATCTTGCCCTTCATCACAGCACAAAATTCCACCAACTGCTCTCTCTCTCTCTCCCTCCCCATGTTCCACGCCTTCCTTCGTGCACTTGCGGATGTGTAACTCCATGTTAGCTCAAAGATTTGGAATTTGAGAATGCAGTTAAATGCAGGATCAGTGATTTCCTAGGAATTTTCCTACATCCATATGCTACCACGACCTCTCATTGTGGTAATAACCGTGATGATGTTGTTGGCGTTGCTTGATAGAGGCCTCGGTTGCTGCAACAATGCTTATCCTCCCGTTTCGGTTTAGTACCTGTGACAGCTGTCTGGGTAGTCGGTAGTTGAACAGAAAACCACCTTTCCTCAGTGTACATAGACATGACTGCTTTGGCAGGGAAATGTGATAGTAGCATGTGCTGCCTTCCACCTGTATGGCGCAAGTTGGACTTTGAGTAGCGGCTTGTGAAGCAATGAGGAGGGCGTACAAGGTGCATGGGAGAGCCTGTTTAAGCAATGTGATAAAGCGGTGGGATGAGTAGAAAATAGGGCTTGTCAAAGGAGAAGCCGGCCTCGGCATGATTACTTTAAAAGTGCTACTCTACTCGCCTACGTTTTGTGCCCCTTCAATTCTTTCTGAAGCATTGAACACTAAACGCCGAGACTGCAATAAGGAAGCCAACCCCTCTGGGAAAAGACGGTGCTGATCTGCCACCTTTCGTGTCATCTGCATTTCATCGATTCCAAGGAATTTTGGAGCATTCGCATCATCGTGCCACACGGTTAAAAGCTTGTCCCACCCTTCTTCCTTCGCCATAAGAAAACTACTGTTACTCCACTCAAAACCTCTTCTACGCGTTACTCCCACACTTCATAGTTTGCTGTTTAGGCACGATTCCATGGTTGGTCACGAAATTTATAATTTTCTTTTCTAAGTTTTAGGCATTAATGCCATCATCTAAGAGTGGAGGAGTTTTTTCCTCACCTTCATTACCATCGCAGCATCATTCACTGCAGTAGTCATGAGCTTCCACGCTATAAATTGACCACAAGAATAGGCAGCGGTCAGCATCATTTGGAGTGATTGTGAAACTCCACTGCTTCAGCTGCTTTAAGTTAGAGTTACACGGCACAAGGAGTGTTGACAGATCACTTTGAGGTTTTACTTTTCGACAAAACTGTGCTTCGGTTGTAGGCTGGGTCATGTGGTCTCTTGCAGGTCATCAGTAGCAGTTGCTCACAGCCCGTAGCCATGATCACCCACACTCACTTCACTACGATGTGTTGTCAAACACAAATCGCTCTTCGCTGACCCCTCACTCTCCTAAATCTCAACACTTTTCATGTTTTCGAGATAAAATCACACTAGCACCCTATGTCGACTGCTTTTTCGCTTGCGTTAGCCTCTCATCACCCACAAGGCACATTACCCTTGGCTGGGAATGCTCAACCAGGCGAGGTTGACATCACCTGGTGGAATGACTTGCTGGTTAAATTGGCGGTGCGAATTACAAACTTGGTGCTGCTAACCTCCTAAATCATGCGGTAAATTTTTTTTTGCGTGCCACAACCTGAAAAGCCCTTTTGTACGGTGGGAGGTTTTGCCGCTTTAATTAGTCGTAGGACTGCTGAAGTGGGAAACGATGGCAGTTAGTTTACTCGGCACTGTTTATAGAAGTGCCCCTAAGTCGTTGAGGCATCGTGACAACTAGCCAGCGTTGGTAATGTCCTTTCCTCCTAGACGTACGCAGTGCTGCCAAATTCTTTTAACCCTTGGGGCACCATAAACGTGGTGACGCACACGGCTTCGCTTGAACTGCTGAATTGAAAACCAGTTACCACATCTCACCCCGGGGACGCTAGACGACCTAAAAACGCGAAAGTCGTCACCCAAACCTGTGGCACTGATGTCAAGTATGTCTAGTGTATCAAGCCTCTCGGTTAGACCTAGCACACCACCAGTCTCAACACAGCTATTAACTGCCCAAAAAAAAAGAACAACTTGCTCAATGCGTCAACGCAACGCACACACAATTCATCCCTTCAAACCACGTGAACAGGGAAGCCCGTCCCCACCCAATGACACCAAGAGCCTCCTTCCAAAGCCAGCTTTGTAAGCTCCAAGTCACAGCTGATTAACCACTTCAAAAGGCACCAGGCGGGACTCAACGAGGTTAGAGGCAATGCACCCTCAAAACAGGCCGCCACTTTGGAACCTTTCCATCTCAAACCCACAGCCCGCATTAAGGCGACTGACCTAGGACCGGACCCACTCGAGGACGGAATCAAGAAGCTCCAAGTATAAACCACTAGTGGCAAAAAAAGCTTGTCTACCTTCTCTGGTTTTAAAATGCTTTATTTATCTGCTCTTGCAGCGGTCAAAATCAGTCGGTAAAAAGTACACACATGTATATATATATATATATATACGTGTAATATATATATATATATATCTAGGATTTGCCAGTTAGCTGATTGTAAACTGACCAATGAAATTTCGACCAGGGTAGGGGTAGATAAGAGAAGGGGAGTACAAAAAGGGGAGAAAAGAGCTATTTACACCACACATAGAGGTGAGAGCACGGCGAAATGACCAAGATGGGAGGTTCTGAATGGACAGAGGTAGGGTCTGCGTGTGGTGTTGGGATCTTCAACTTTTATTCATACACAGCAGAGCGAGACGCTGAAATTCTGAAAGCCCGGAGGGAATGTCTTTGTGAATACACTTGTATCTGCATCGCTTCACCGCACTATTGAGGTCGGAAAGGATGCATTCCCGGAGGAATTACTTGGGGCGACTGCCTGTTCGGTGGTTGAGAGTTATTAGTGTTATTACTGGGATTTCCTCCAGCCGCCATTAGATTGGCAAAATGAGCCTGGAATAATTTATCAGAGGCATGAGCCGTCGGAGGAATATTCAGAGGTCTGTGGCGATGATGTGATTGTTGTGACTGTTGATGAGCGTAGGGGCTACCCCCACTGGCACCACCTGCGACTGCTGCCGCCGCAAACGGAGCCAAAGTAATTCCAGTCGGTGGAGGCTGTGACGCCGGAGCATAGTCATAAGGCGACTTTCCTGAAGGAACAACACGCCTACCAGCAGCCGACCAATCCATAGGCTGAGTCTGGGGTTGATTCACTACTGTTGGTGGTGGCCAAGGACGGCGTCCAACCTCCACTGTCGATCTGCTCTTCTGCGGTGCTGCTGGAGCATCGTCCGAAATGTCCGAGTAGGCCGGACTAGCCGTTGGCGGTTCGCACATGGCCATGCCGGAGGATTCCACCACTTCATCCGCAGTCGGTCCGCGATCCAACTTCGGAGGCGGAGGGTCTTCATCCATTGGTTCCAGGGAACAGCCTCCACCGTTTGAATTCACTTTTGCAAGCTGAGGTGGCGCCTGGCCCGTGGGTGAGGAGCTCGAATGAACTTCCACTATCGCTATATTCGATGCTTCCGTAGCGTGCGCCTCCTGTTCCTGCCGTTGCGCATGGCATTGATCCAAATGGAAACGAACTCCAATTATGTCAGCAAAGCGCTTCTTACAGCCCAGCTGCGGACAGGCAAAATCAGAGGTAGATGGAGTGTCAGAAAGCGTGTTGCTCACAGCCGCACCATCATCCTGATCGCCGAGACTGGAATCGATCCCGTCGGTGGGGAGGGAGGTGGTGGAGGAGGAGGTAACCATTCCAATACCCCGGCGTCGTCGTCGGCCACGGCCAGATGAAGCACTGGATGGCAGAGCCCGGCGCCGCGACGCCATCGAAGGATCCTCAGCTGCTGCGATAGCGGAGCGAGTCCTGATGGGGCCTGAGGAAGTGGAGGCAGCATTTGCGCCTGAGGTAGAAGATCGGTAGGCACCGGATGATGTGGAACTTGGTCCGCCCCAATTTGGCTTGCATTTGACCATGCTAAGCGATGATATCATTTTGTCCGGACTGGGCGTGAACAAATTAAAAGAGCTAGTCAATACCATTGGAACATAGAAGGCAAACGCCCAGGTAGTCATCGTCAGTTTCAAATCCACAGACCCACGTAAATCGTCGTGAAAAAGCGGCTCAATTGACAATTAAACCTAGGACCTGATCACGGGGACTTCAGAGCCATAAAAACAGCGAACAAAGTAGTTTTTCATGCCTAGGCTGGGCTAGGCAGACTGATTAACGATAGGTAAATCTAAAAAGTAAGTTTACTTACCAGGATGGACCAAGAGTGTTTTTAGAGGCATCCAGGAAGGTTCCGAGGAATGCTCTGCCCCGCCAATGTGCGTTTACAACCATCATCCCTAGGAGCATTAAAAACCGTCAATCCCTACACAGAAGTGCTAAAGCGCAGAGTAAAACCCACAATATATCATAATTAAGTAGAGCAGCATTGAGAAAAAAGCCTTCAACTGGTGAGGGGAGTGGGAGAAGTTCGTAAGTACGCTATCTCACCTTGCTGACGAAAAACATCCAACTTTCCCCAACCCATTCACGAAAACTGTCCTAGAGTAGCTTTTAAGTCGAGTTAAACAGTGGAACAAATCCCTGCACATTAAACGGCGAGAAATTGCAATAGAGCAAATTCTCCAGAATGCGAGCCAAGCAGATTATTCCAAAAATAAGGGTTCGGCTGAGTAGTTAAAACCAAGCACACGTCAAGATGTAAGACTCGTTTATCCTGACCGAGAATTGACAACCAGAATTGATCTTTTGAATGCGAGGTATTAACCACCCAGACTACACGGTCAGAAATTGGGTAGTGTACGAGAAAAAGTCAGCTTCCAAATCAAGCAGCAAAAAAAGCCAAGGTTCGTGAAAAAGTATTTATCCAAGCAACGCTCAGACATCCCCACGCTAAACAAAAACTCCCGCCTTTTGCTCCAAAAAAGGCACAATTATTTTAAGATTACGATGTCAGGCTTCCGATCACGCACTCAACAACTACATTCAAATTAAGGAACAATTGTTCCCAGTCTTCAATCGAAGTCAAACAATGGGCGACGAAGAAAAGGTACCGCGCCCACATTCCTCGCCTATCAGTAGCAAACCCCCTTCCTATCAGTAACGAAATTGCAAAGAATATGCAATGTTTAATGGTAGGGTTGTATCCACGGCCATCGAAAGACATGAATTTTGATCAAACAACCTCACAGCATGTGACGTCCACCATGAAATTAATAGAACAAAACATGACAAAGTGACTCCTGGAAAACTAACAGAAGGTTCTTATTAATACAAAATTCAATTCTCCATAGGCCGAAAGGGCGGGGCCGGACCACTTCTCTACCTTAGCTCTTAATAATAGTATTAATATGCATACCGTGAATACTTAATACAACGTGGTCTAAAAACGGTACAATGGAGAAGGAGTAGAAAGCAACACAAACACTACGAACCTGGGGTCTCTAACCAGACAATGCCTTCAAGCACTATTTTTGATCCAGGCTCACAAGGTCCCAACAAATCCGGCTCAGTCATAGTACTAGAATCCACAGTCGATGTGGCCACATCCTTTTTACCGCCATAAGAATCCACACCCTAGAATTGTGTGTAATGAATGAATTACAAGTACCTTGAGATTGGACATGCAATGCGGAGATGGGGACCGGAAACTTTCTGGTAATCCAGAAGGAAGTACGGGACTCTTTTCGTCGTCTCCTGGGACAGAGGAATAGACGGAGGAGGGTGAAAGCCGTCCATCCAGTTGGCTCGAATCCAACGTGTGAGAATGCGCATTCGTCCGCCGGATGGTCACCTTCAGGGGCTTATTTACACAATACGTGCCTCCATTCTGACTAACACGCGATCGACTGGATTTGACTTTCTTCCGGAGTTTACTGAAAGAACTGGTGGGTGATCCCGTCTTGTTTGAATCGATGATGAACTGAGGGGGTGTAGAGTAAGAAGAGGAGGAAAGAGACTTTACACCGGTAGCCGCAGCGACACCATTTGCAACACTAGTGGTGCGCCTCTTACGGCTTTCGTTAGAGGAGATGGACTCCCGATCTTCGGATGAAGGAACGGGACTAGACGAATTGGGCAACTCAGGCGGCATAGAGGTAGCAAACACACCGGGAGGCGCCGGAACTACAGTAGCTGCGCTGGTCATGGTGGATGTGGAGCCTGATGGCATATCGTGTTTGCATTTGGTCTTACCCTTTCTATTTACCGAATCTCTAGACACCTTGATGTTTTTATATTCTATTTTACAACTTCTCAATTCTAGACAAGCGATGTTGTGCAACTAGGATTCGATAAATCCACAGCGGGAGGGGCGAAATTCGCGGAGTAAGAGAAGTTTAGCAGAGAAAAGCCAGACGATTCAACAGAACGCCCTGTACGTGCACTTGCGCGTGCCACCACTTTGGTGTGTGTCTGTACACGCAACTCGCGCCTCAGCTATACGCATACGTGTACCTGTCTGTCTTCATTTTGTCAATCGATGCGCACCATCTACTGGCTCACGCAAACTAGGCGTTTTCTGATTGGCCAACCCCTACTCAGGCGAGATTTTTTCTTTATTTGGGCGGAATTCGATAAGGCTACTGGGCTTTCGCCTCCTCCCCTGCGTTCGGTCTAACTCCGCTTGTTGGTTTTCTGCTGAGAAGAAAATTACGTCTATAAAGTATTAATGTGTGCATTTACGATTCAGCGGTTAAATCATCTGTTTGCATGCTTCAGAGTTAATTAAGACGCCTATCTCCAGTGTCGGCACTTTGGTGGTAGTTTTATTCGGCAGAATTGTCTATTTCTAATTCTGGAAAGAAATGGTTATTAACTAGGTCGCCAATTAAAAAGGTTCGTAATATGGATAGAGGCTAACCAAATTTGCAGGATTGCTCTGCTGCCCTTACTCGAGCCCCACCGTCCTTTCTGTAAATTCGTCAACTTAGCACTTTTCACGGGCGGGGCATCGACATCAACGGGGTTTTATTCGTGCTCTTGGACCGTAGGGTTTTGTTAGTCCCAGTATCTAGGCTTAAGGTTAGCCATAACTTATAAACGAGCGTTGCTGTGGTCTATCATACGACAATTGGCCGTCCCAGGAACCGTTTAGGGGGTGCACTTGTCTCCGGGCCCCCAGACAAAATCACCAATTTCGCGTACAAAGGGGAGAACGTGGAGTGAGTAAGCCCGATACTGGGACAGTCACGGCAGTGACATGCGGACATTTGGGTTGTCTCTTTAACGGCGCTGTCCCCCTTTTTGGCTGGTGCTACCCCCTCTAATGTGATGGCCGGTGTCGTGCAGCCTTTAACTGACTGACCATACACCGGGCGACTTGCGTCATCCCCACGTGCCGTGCGGGGTCGTGTTGGACGCTTTTTATGGACAACTGCCAGGTACCTTAAATCACTGTTTTTAGCTCCAAATTTACTTGATCAGATGCCACTGAGTGTAATTGTCGTAATTAGTTCCTTACTTTAGTTCCTTTGTTCTCCGAATGGCATCATACCTTCAAATTAATCACCAATCAAATACTTATTTCAGGATAAACTAAGAAGTCAGTAAACTGAAATCGTATGCTCAGTGCGGTGCTCTCTTTCTCCCCCTCACTCACTCTTGTAAATGTGCGTTTACGACTCGGAGGCAGGATGTCATCTGGTCGTAAACCCAATGAAATGACCTGTTTATTTTATTAGAGGTCGTACAGATAGATAAACACACGTCACATGAGGGCTAGAGAAGCACGAATTAGCATAAAGGGCCACAATGGTGTAGCAGGGTTGTAACCGCGACGCACCGATGTGATTTGAAATGCGTGCAGAATTAGGAGAAAGTAGAAAAACAAGAAACCTTTGTGGCTTCAGCCGAATGCTGTAAGTAGCCGGCTTTGGTTTGTTTCGACCACTACATTCCGATGCCTCTAAAATTGCAAGCTCATGGCTGGGACGGAACGGAGGTTCTGCAGGCTGTCGAGAAGCCAGTAGTTGCATGTCATGTCGTTTGCATACCTACACCAGGCTAGGCAGGACGGTTTGGCCAAACTCGACAGCGTGAGAATACAGACAGCAGAGATGGCGTCCGGCCATTAATATTATACCAACTTTTTGCCATTGTAAATAAGGCAAAACACACTTGTTTGTTTATGGGTCTTATGTATGTGTTGCTGGGCGCAGTTTTGTCACAGCTGCAAAGGGACGAAGTTGGCTTTCAACATCTGTGACTCGTACGACCCCATTATCGAGGGAAGGAGGGGTGACTCATCGTCTAACAGTCCACGCTCGTCCAATGATGATTGAATGGTCTAGGGGATAAGACATAATCTAAGTTGATGTATATCAAAGAGCTTCAGCCCCAACCTAACCCTTATCTAACTCCACATGTGGTGCATATTAAAGCTATGGTTTTATCATTTAGAATGCATTTTTTTCTCTCGTGAAATTGTTAAGACGATGAAAAACTAGGCTATATGTTGGTGCTTTCAGATCCCAATGTGTAATGGCAGCAAAATCGGAAATGCATTCTCGTTGAGATTGAGGTTTTAAGTGGGTAGGTGTAACGCCGATCAACCATTAAAATTCACCAGATACAGCACAAAACCGTGCCATATATATGTGTTCTTCACTCGCAATCGTGGTGACTTCGTGATTGATTGGAGCGAGTTATTCTAAAACCAGAAAACGAGTATGGAGGTGTAGCGAAACCTTGCATTGAAATCTGCATCACTGTAGTTAATTAAGTATCCTCTGCCATGCTTTTATTGCGTTTTCTTGACAGATACTTGCATGATTGACACTCCTTTCAGTGTGCAAAATCCGCGTCAGTGTGCTTATCGACGTAGTTTAAACTTCTGCATTAATTTAGTTATTTACTTATTTGGTCTGATTTACAGGAGCTCCACGTCCCATATCGATTTATTGATTATTGGCATTTGAGGCAGTCAATAAATATGGTGTGAGTTAAGTCGGGTGCTGACATATCAGTAATGCAAAAGCCAGTTGTGTTTGCTTGCTTGTAGTAGTAGATCAGTCCTACACCCAACCTAAAATGCGAGCCCGTAAATGTCAAACGAATTACCCTTTGCCTTCGTGAGTGTAACTTACGTGAATTAGATTAGCGTATGAATTGCCAATTAAGGGCACGCTAGTTACTGGTTTACGCCTTCCCCCAGCCGACATGGCATTACAGCCACCGTTTCGTCGTCATTTACGAGTGGGAGAGTATACGATAAACCAACGTCACTTTCAATCACGTACACACGCATTCTCCTTCAGCTTAGTGATGATTTGAATGGTTTTATATGAACGCAGCCAATTCGCGGCTCATTGTGAGTCGAGTTTTCATGATAGTCAGAAAGCTAGTCTAATTTAGGCTACTATTATCAAAACCCTTATCTGAAGTGACTAATTTATGCGTCTGATGAAAATTTGATGTTTTGTCGGCACCCAAAATGAGGATTATTGCTAAAATAACAGTTCCAACAAAAATTGGACGTTTTTTTACACTTTTTAAAACCATTGTACATCCACAGGAAATACTATTCTGAAGTATTTATTGCATACAATCAGGAGGATTCCCAGTACAAGCTGATTGTAGATGGCAGAAAACGCCCTCCTCTGTGGAGCTGACTGGACCTACACGTCACCATTTTTGTATGCATAGTGCGCACCAGAGCGAATTATCGATCGGCATCAGCTGTTACCAGCGCGCAGGCGAAGAGACGTGCACGTAGTGCGTGCGGACGTGTGTGCAAGCAGCGTGTGCGTTATGTGCACAGCCCGCATACCAGCGCGGTTCAACGCCATGTTCGCGTGTGAACTTGCAACGATAACGCGGGAGGAGGGAGAGGGGCGGACGGGGGAGGGCATGACTAATGCGACCAGTGAAAAATGTCCTCCCCAAACGGGCGTTTTCTTTTGCCATTGTCAATGCAAATAATTTTAGCATTAATGATAAACTATGAAAGCATACGTGCCTCTTGGATGTTTCCAATTCAGAATTACCCTAGCACCGCCTATTTGCGTGACTGCTTGCAATCATGACCTCTTAATATCCCTTCTTCTCTTGTACTAAGATAAAATGAATAGTTCATGAAAAAAATGCTTGTCGAGACATTTAAATTGCCACTCCAGACGGATAAAATGAATTGTTTTGTACCCCAACTACCCTATTTAACCATTATGGTAGATTGAGAAAGTGCAAGGTTTGGCTGGAGAATTTTCCACCAAAGATGACCTAATGGTCTTTAAGGTCCGTACTATCGGACATGATTGTTGCATCTACGCAGGTAATAAATGAGTGTTTATGACCCACCCGGTAGAATTTTACGCAACTTTCGGACCATCAATTTTACCCCGGTGCTATTCGCATAGTCCGGGAGCCGAGGCCTGTTATATGGTTGAATCCTACATCGTAATGAATGACTAATGCACTAATGCCATAATTTGCGTTATTAAGAATGCCACTGGTCAATTGATGGCTTTGATCATTCAAGCAGCTGTCAAAAGTGCATCCTTTTCAGCATTTGCTGCGTGGAGGTCAGTTGTAAATGTATAGATAAGGTATTGCTGTAATCACTTACAGTAGCACAGTTAAGACATCGACAAAATCGAGTCTTGGATAAAACATAGCTGGACAAAGTAGGACAATTAGGTCTGCAATCAAACTCATCTAAGCAAAATTGCATTTGACCGAAATCCATCAAGGTTGCAGATCCCGGCCCTGACATCGAAACCCGGGTTTGTGTGCTCCAATGTCGTCAAACAAGTGGCTTACTCCTTAGGAGTGCCAGCACGGGAGCACTCACTTTGTGCATGCATTTACTTTGTTACCTTCTTAAAAAAAGGCGAAGCGCGGAACACAAACAACTACCACTTTTTGCCCTTTGTGTGGATCTGCAAGGCGTAGGAATAAATTGCCTCGAGTGCTTGCATCAATCACTTGATGTACTTACATGGTATTTTTACAGTTGGAAACTTTCTTCTTCGTAAGGGTAAAAGCTATGTCTTTTCATGAAAGGAATAGATATATGGGTAATCAAGTGAAGTCAAGTGTGAAATCCATTAGAAAAAGGAGTTTGCTTCAACAGTTGCCAAGTTCATTCCAACGTAGACGTTTACAATGTCATCTGCCTGAAGCTGTTTTGCGCAAACATTTTTGCAAATGCATTAATTCACAAAAGGCCAAAAGAGCATAGATACAGAAAAAGACAATTTGACCTTAAGGTCATAGCTTGCACATCTTGTGGAACACATTGCATATATGGACAAATGTGTATGTACTTTTAATGTTAGCAACCAGAGTCTTACCTGGATAGAAATTGCCGGAGAAGATATTTCGTATGCCTTCAAACGTCTACCATCTGCTTTGAAAGGCTCCACCATCTTTTGTTTGGAAGTGAATTTTAATTAGTCCATTTGCATTTTCAATCAGCGCAAATCATTGCTTACTTTGACTGGCTACAAAGTCAGAAATAATATTATTGTCCTTCCCAAACACAACACAATTTGCTTTGTCTCTCTGGTTGAGATTCTTATTATCCGTGTATTCTTTCGATCAGTTTTTGTAGTTACTTATTTTAGCTGGAATCAGTATAAAATCAGCTTGAAATAGTCCGCATGGCGTTCCGCTATCCGACTTGACAGCAACCGATGCCATTCTGTCACCTCCTTCTGGTTAGACCATACACGCTGATAAGAAATTTTATGGAATGTCAAAAAATCTACTTTTTGCAGAATTTCACAACTTGCACAACAGTGATGTAACCATCAAAGAATTTCAAAGCTGGGGGAATAAATATACCTCTAGGTCTATTATACTCAGCTAAAATTTCAGTCCATTTTATCTGCAATCACAACTTCATTAGTGGTGTTATTAACAAATGTTTTGTTTCGAGACAGATTAACCAGTAGGGTTGGTGGAATGGCTAAGCTGTAGGGTACAGCTAATCGAGACTGTTACGCAATACAGAAATTTCGAGAAAGGATTTTTTGCGGCTGTTAGGTAAGAACGGGCAGACAGTGAAAAGAAGAGAGAGAGAGAGAGAGAGAGAGCTAAATGCCATTCATAATGAGGGGATGAAAGTGGCCAAGGGATTTTGGGGAAATTAAACATGTCCACAGGGAATCTGATTCATGAATTAGGGTGCCTCAGGTGTGGCGTGCAGGGGATGGCCAATTTAGCCTTAAAGTCACCCCTGAGGGCGCTACTAGCTATATTAGTCAGCAAGCCGAATTGGTGTGGGTCTTGCCTTGAAAGTCGCCCTCGTAACTCCTCATCCGTAGCAGTCATCTCAGCCTCATTCAAAGGAATTGAAAGACAATGGCGAGACAGGAAAGACAATGGTGTGACTAAAAGATCCCCAAGGCCATCGCTGGAGGTTGGTCCTCCATTTGTCCTTTAAGAAAATCCACCACAAAAAAGTTATTTAGAAAGCATTGCTTTAGGTTTGATAATGTCTGCATGGGTGTCACGGGTGTCACCTCCTGGTTCTGTTCTCTATCACTTCTTTGCCCTTTTTTGTACTTCCAACCCACCGTCCGGATTGTTTTGGGGCGACATTTAACTTGAAGAGACATTATTTAACAAGATTCCAGTTGACCTTCCGTTTTGACCTAGCTTTCCATACCGGACGTCTGTCTTAGCGAAAGCGTCGATTATGGAAGCAACATTTGCCTCAAGGTGTAGGACTCTTTCTAATGTGGAGCCAAAGCTAACCTTCAAGACTGTAGAAGCCGTAGAAGCATAAAGTACCAACGTGGAAGCTGGATACCAGGTGACATTATGCTGACACCGATGTGCCATGCGCCCATCTAAGGGCACCCAACCTTCGAGCCCTTTAAAACAGGCTAAGCGTGCTTCATCCTTAGCTACAATAGCTCTTCTTAATGGAATTGAGTGTATAACTACATTTCTCAAAAACTGTATCCAAAGATTAATTATTTGTTTTCTTATATGCATGTGTATTATGGAACCGTGGCTGGTTGACGTAAACTTGGAAAAAAACCCAAAACTTACATCTAGATTCCACTGTTTTGCCCTCTGCTTTATTAGCCATGGATACGTAAATAAAGGCGAACTTAAAGAAAGGGGATTTGAGACTCCTGATACAGTAGCAAGAAGGAAAATGTGCCACAAAGCAATATCCATATCTCACCTCTGCAGAATCGCGCTTAATTTCTCTTAAAGCCAGGTAAGGCCATTTCAAAATTAGACACCTAGAGGTGGGTTGGATTTAGGTCTAAAAATACGGGCCTTTTCTAGATACACTAGATGTTTTTTAACATGTAAAAATATCATTAAATTATGGAGACAAAATCCAGACAGAAATACATTCAATTAATCATCAGTTTCTAATGCTAAACGCCTCCCGGGGGGGGGGGGGAATGGCACCGCAACTAATACCAGAGACCGCCATTACCTTCATACTTCATTAGTGAAATTATTCTCCGATCTCCTGGACTGAATCAGCAGCAGCCTCCTTTGGTCTCGAAGCCTCGACTACCAAACTTTGTCGTTGAGATTACTCATTTACAGGTGATATAATAAGGTGAATCAAGAAGTAAAGGTGATGAGTCATTGACAAGGAGGGGGGACGGGGGGAAGGCGAGAATCGGATGGCCAAACCGACTGAAGAACCCCCACAACCAATTAATCACGGGTCCAAAGTAAGGAGGTGGGATTGGGAGGGAAAGTTTGGCCATCAATTAATCCAATCTCATTGTGTGAACAGCGACGAATACATTATCGTCCTTTGCATTTAAAATTATTTAATTTGTAGCAGCTTTGTGTGTCCCCAGGACCATTCAACACCTTCCTCATTGCTGGTGTAAGAGGAGTAATGAAATAATGGCAGAAAGTCGTGTGACATTCGGTCAGGGAACTACTAAGCCAAGGCCAGTAATTATTCTCTTTTATGCATAGAAAGTCGTCAATCCTTGTAAATAAGAATTTGCATTTCATGGCATGGTTTCTCTCCTCTCAACGGTAGTAGGAATTTGCATCAATCTGTCGGCAAAACGATGGTGGCCGGCCTTACGCACGCAATGGTGGGTAGTGCATAGCACTCATGCCATCTTCTTCCATAAAAATAGCTCTATGGAAGGCGATGGGTCAGTGTAGGTTATGTGGGACCAAAAGCAGAAGCTTTTCTTGCCAAACGACCTCCTCTGCTCGAAAACTGGTGCGTTTATTACAGTCAAAGGCGCGGGGTTCCAAATAAGGCATTCAGCCATTTCTTGAGTCATCAGCAGGTTGGCGATTACTATGTGACATGAAGGTGAAGATACTTAGGAAGAAGGGTTGCACTAACCCAAAGGTTGCTCTTTGTTGCTCCTTTGCGTCGCACACATAGCATATGCTTAACATTCAGTACCTCTAGAAGAATTCTTAGGTATACATCACTTGCAGGTACGTAGGCCGCCTTAATAGCATTCATGAGTGATCAAACTTGCGTTCTTCTATGTAGCCTCCGTTCTGCCTTCAAAAACTGTCATTTTAAACAGGTAAAAGGCCAAATTGAAGTGAGGAGTTGTGCAATGATTTTCTACTCCTGATCTGATGACATCCTCTGTTATCGAGGCGTTATTACGCAAGGCCAGGTGGTGTCAAGTTAATACCACCTGCGTACGTTCGGCCCAGGAATGTTTCATGACTCGGAATTCCCCTTTCTACAAAACATTGTCTTCAGAAGGCAAAAAACTTAATCCTGGCTGTTTTCGTTTCTATCTTGCTTTTATTTCCACGAACGCCTGGCCTATGTCCCATGGAGCGTCAGGAAAAGGTGATAATCATCACTTGGAGGATGAGGGGAGACAGTATCACCATCCATTCCACCACATCCAATTTTAAAGGCGCAAATCTATCCACGAAAAGCTTTGTGGAAAAGGACCTCCCTCCGACTGGTCAACTACTCTGGCCGCAAACCTTCGAGATTTAGGCTTTGATTGACTTCCAGAGGTCGTACAAATTGTGGGATAAGTTTATTGTTACTTTCATGGAGGACTGAAACCCTACGTACAAGTAAATCCACTATCCTCCCACCGAAACACTTGCCTATATTTTCTGGAGGGTGGCAAGACTTACCCTTCTAACCGAAGAGATTAAGCGCACATTTTTAGTTCTTAAATTAAAGAAGATAACGATCGTTGATGTAACTTGTAAACACCGCCTAATAAAAATCTGTTTTAAATACATGCAAACCCTTTAACTGTAGCAATAAAAGCTGCGCTCCTGAAGGGTGAGTATTACATAATTTAGCTTGGCTCAACGCCAAAAACGAATTTTCTTGATTGGTGGTTTGCTGTTCTGCTGGGATCCAAGGCGCGTCACTCCTACTTATTCCACATTGAGGGAGGGCTGTCTCCGTTTAAAAAAATTGTAAAATTTAACCACAAAAAATATTGATTTGACCTCAGATTGTTGAGGGTGACCGCTGATCCAGTTAATGCTCACGTGAGGTTAGGCTGGATGTGCCAACTTTCCAGTGCAATTTATTTGCATATCGTAAACAATGAAAATAAACTGACAATAGTGGGTAAGTAATGAATGGTGCTACCATTTGGTAATCGAATTAAAAGTGAAAAAAAATTAATTGGTTAGCTGTTGCGTTTTGGTCAATATGTTAACCGGTGAATTCATTAACCATTTTGCCGCTTTCATACTTCGACAGGAGACATTTAAGAAGTGAATGTAAAATTTAGGCATGACGTCGTCTCTGCGGAGCTTGGTTCCTTCAAATTAATGAAGTCTTATTTAGAATTTGTTGTCAATCACTTCAGTGATGTCCAGTCATATCTATCGGGTTTATATTCAACCAGTAGAGAGGTAGGGGAGGTATCGCGTATCTGCTTGGTTGACACCTCCAAAAAGACACCGTGGACAGCTTCATAACAAAGTTTTCCAAATGGTTCACGGCCAGTGTCGCTACAGCAGTTAATAGCATTTCCGTAGGGCGTGGGATTGAGGCAGTTGCTCAAGATAAACGTCACTTCAACCTTTCTGTTGGGGTTTGTCACAGAATCACCCATCCACAGCGTTGAGGCTTAGAATTCGAGGATTGCAATTCAGGATAGCTATCCTTTGTAATCGGATTCTCTTGCCGCTGCCACCGGTGTAGCGTCTCGAGTCATAATAAGAGGAGCCGAGAGGCCACTGGTATGGCTCGGAGGCCATGTCGCCCAGCCGAGGTACAATGGCGGTGCCTCAATTGCCCACTTAATCAAAACCAAGAGTTAAACAAAAAATAACTTTGACGGAAAGGGACACAATGTCCCATCGTTCCAACGTGCCGATGGATTGGTGGTTAGTGAAGGACATCTATCATAAGGCTGCCAATTCTCAAACTTCTAAGGTAATCAAATTCTAAATTAATCGTAAGGGTAAAGAAGCTTCACTGCTTTTAGAATGAACGACGTCAAGAGGATGAAGTAAATCCACACATTCATATTTGCTTTTGTACCAAATTCCCTTTTAGGACTCCAGCCACCAATCACCATTGAGGAGTTGGGGTCAATGCATTCAAGTATCCAAGTATCCAAGGCTTCCAACCCTTGACTGTTTTCTAAACCATTCTCTTAATATAATATACCTGAAATTACTGTACAAGTACGTCCGTTTACTCTTTGCTTACAAATTTATCAATTAGATTTAGTGTGGCCTTCGAGCGCTCAGCTAGAAGCCTTCTTGTAATAATTCGCACATCTTAAATGAATACCTTTGAAAGGCTTCAGTAAATTTAATGCGCGTTGTTGCCTCACATGGTTTATTTTCGTAGATTGGGTGACTAACACATCTGCCAGCAGGATCAAATATTAGACACTTCCATTTGTTTACCTAAAACCCAGCGTCAAACAAGGCGGCATGTGTGCCTTGTCGGCGCATGATAGACAGGTTGCGTCACAAACAGATCAGTTGGACTTACTACTAATGCGGGGGCCTCACTTTATTGCTCTGAGGCTGATTACAGTCATTATTAGAGTGGTTTGCCCCCCGGGACCACCCTGGAAACGGACTTGAACTGTCCAGAGGGTAATGGAAAGACTCACACAAACCACGAAGAAGGCCATTGACAGGTGGCTGCTCACCGAAATGTTAAGGTGAGGAGAAAGTGGAGTTGAACTGATTCAAAGAAGTTCTGTGAAAGCTACAAATGATACCGTAAAGTGATGGTGGTGGTCTTGGCAATTGTTATAACATTGCAATTCCCATACAATATAGATTTTATCAACACTTAAAAGCAACGAAAGAGTTAAATCTCCTTAACTTGGTCGTATCATGCCCTAGATATAGAAGAAAAAAGGCAGTAAGTGTCCGTGACTATCGTGTTCTTGGACTATTTACACTCCCAAAACTCTGTATTTGTTGGTAAAGTGCTGCATTCAGAGGCGCCTATCTGACGAAATGCCAAATGTCTCCAAGCAGCGTGTGTTGGTGTGTGAATCACGGTATTAGTAAGAACTGAAGACAGGGCGCCTACCACGACCTTTTGGGGTGAAACACGCTGCTGCGCAATTCACGCTGTGGATTTTATGGTCTGCATTTGGTTTACATTTTAAAAATGGCGGAATTGCTAATGCATTCATCAAATTGTAATGCAAGCCTCTTTGGTGAGGGCTACCAAAGCTAACACAACTGTTGATGATGCATTCGCGGCGCCTAAAGTGCCCACACAAATGACAAGTGAAGCAGGATCCGCGTGCCTGCTTACAGTCTTCACGCGCCTTTTGACACGACTTGCCAAAACATTTCAATGTTGTCACGGTTACTGCTGACGAGGTGGAGCAGTGGCAAAACACTGTGTAAGTGACACCCTCCATCTGTAAAGATGGTACTTAAGTCTCACTTCACACGATTATTTTCGATGTACCATATAGCCAGAAGACCGAATTTCTGGGATTGAACTGCACATTTACTTTTTTTTCTCATAGCCTCATGGACTTACTGGCGAGGATTTTGTAGCGTTGGATAACCGGTGTGACAGGATTGTAACTGACACACGTACAGGTGGTCGTCTTGGCAACTTTCGCACCACACGGCTAGGCTACTGAGATCCTCATCACCACGGCATGACATCCGTGTCATGTCACACCGTCACGTAGACCTGTAATATTTACAAGTCGCTATTCAGGGTTTGGTTTTTGAAACCTCTGTTATCACTGCAATGAGAGTGGATTAACAACCACAGTACGCTGGAGGCATGGAGGGAGTTGCTGGCTCTGGCCTGTCATCGGCCATCTTGACGATCGGTGGTTGAAGGGGCTCACGACACGTGAGTCGGGCAATTGGCAGTAGAGCCAATAGCGCGTAGAATTACGAGTCTCGGTTTGCCTTTAAAACCTAGGCACTACCGCCACGACAACGGTGATCTTCAAAGTGCACCCCCAACGCCTAGGCAAGAGCGCACTATAAATCGATATCGATTTTTGGTCGGTGAAGTGAGCTCAGCGTGTGACTCGTCTTGGGGCTGATCAATCGAATCGAGCCTCCCAAGTCAGTCCACTCTCTGCATCTGAATTGACGAAATTTGGATGCACTTTTTAAAGGGCTGAATTACTGACCCTTGTAATGATCTATACTGAAGGTCACTCGGGGTAGTATCAGTCCAGTGAGGGTCATGCTCCATAGCAGGCTTTTGGGTCGGGAAATGCCTGTCCTGATGGCCATCTGTGGGGTGAATCTATTCAGGATGAACTCTCTCTCGCATCCTTACAAGTTATCGGGTCTTACTTTTTCCACCATTGTCTTGTTCTGTCCTGTCCTGGCCTGTCCTACCTTGTTCTGTGCTGTCTTCCGTGCAGTAGCTAGTGGAGAGGTGAGAAGGTGAACTTTGAGTTAAACTGATATATATTTATTTAGTGGTTTATTTTATCATGATGTTTGAATAAGGCGTTTCAAGGGGTAGGATATTAAGGAAAGTTATTTCAGCTGTAAAAGCATCATGAGTAGACACTGACAAAAGTGTGTACAAGGACACCGGAAGTCTTATTTTAGTAATGCAAAATAGACATCCGGACAGTGTTTGGGTGATAGAAGAGGGGCATAAGCAACTCACCAACTCGGATTGTTGGTCCCTTCTGCGGATTCCATCCATCTCAAGTTCATTTCTATTAACGCACGAAGGTTTGGTGGTGTAAATACAGTTGGGTAACTCAGGCACTTCTACAATTACCACTGAAGCAGTTACAAGGTTTAAATTAAACTATTCAGAACATTTGGCATTTGGTAGCATGGATGACAAGGACAGAGTTCCAGGCCACTGTCCTTAGGGTGTAATCACGCCAGACTCAAATATCTCACCTAATTATGGCTGCTATTCGACAGGTCACGTTCGACAGCTCCTGGCTTCTTTTTAACGCCATTTTAAAGTTGTGCCTTGTGAATACCCAACTGCTCTATTAGAGCACCGAAGCATGGAGGTGAGACTAGCAATGAAAAGTGGGAAAGTTACGCTGTTTTGAAGGTGGTGAATCACGTAAAACCAGCGTTTGACCGAATTCCAGTTGGGGCTGCAGTGCCTACTTAAGTGGTGTCAATACGGAACAGAGGGTCACCACTTTACAAGCTGCAACATCCAGCTGTCATTCGAGAATGCTCGATTAAATGCCAGGAGGTTGGGATCAGTTCATTCGTTGTGCCATTTCGCATGGGTATCACATAACTCCCTCTTAGTCTACGCTGTTTTACCCGACTATGTTACAACTTGGCTTCACTGGAAAGTACAAATTAATTGAATGTGTCAAGTGACAAAATTGACAAGCGGAAAATGAGGAGGGGGGGGGGGGGCTAAATCGAATGAGGGAGAGAGGGAGGGGGCTGCGTGCGGAGCTATGCAGCGAACAATGGACAATTTGGATTTGATTCATGGGCCCGCGTTGCGCGCGCTAACATTCAAAAGTCACCTTAGTGATGTGAAATTGGCCATCAAATGCACACCCATCCATACATATCCAATATATCCTTTGCCACACTCAGAGGGTACAAATAAATGGCCTTTTGCGACAATAAGATCTTTTTCTTTTGTTAAAGAGGCACTTTGTTAAGACCTCTGCAAGGATTGCAGCTCTAGGTGGTGGTTGGCGCAGAATGCAGAAAGCCAGGGGCCCTCTCACTGCCCCACAATCTCGCCTTTTTGTGGGCACGAAGGTATGATTGGGCAGTGGTAATGAAAATAAAAAAAACCCTTTATGAAAAATATAATTGAGGTTATTAATTTAAATACAATTAGTCAAATACCTCTGGAATGAAAACCAACCACATTAAATCGAATCCAAGCGCAATATCATCACAACAAAAGGAAAGCAACAACCTCTACATAGCGAGATAACGCTGATGTGATCAGTCCAGTCTGCGCAGCTTTTCGATGAGGGTCGAGTTGGCCAGAGGGGTGCATGGACGGGCGAAGTAGACGAGCCAAGGTGGAGGCCGATGAGTCATCGCGACCACTGTGACTGTCTCGGCCGACGACCGAGTGTTTACCCGAGTGATGGTGACGCAGCCACAGCCGCGGTGACTAAGTCCCGGGGGGAGGGGGATGAGACACAAAGCCTGAGTGCCTTGAGTGTGCGTGACCACCGTCACGCGGCCTTGATAACGAGGAGGGGGTGGGGGGCAGGGGGGGACGCAGGACCGACATGATTGGGAGTGCCATACACTAATGTCTGACCCCAATCGCTTATTACGCCCAAGTCGGTATTCCTCGCCGCCAGGCAGAGAAATTTTTGCTAGTAACAAACCTAAATCAAAATGTCATTGACCGAATACTTCCATGAATTGGCTTTTCATATGTCATGGGCAAAAAAAAGAGCTTTAAGTAAATTAAAATACTTGAGTTAAATTTGAATAAAAAGCTCTGATTTATCAGATAGGATGTTAAAAGGGAAGATGGCCATTCAGGCTTGCGATGCATTGTGTACCGTGTCTACCTACCTACCCACCCACCTACATACATACCTGTCTAGCTACTTTCCTACATTCATATATTACCTACCTATCTACTTTCCTGCTTTCCTTTCTTTCTTCCTACCTACCTACATGCATACATACATACTCACTTTTACGAAGACTAAGCATTTGATCCTGGAGGTAATAATAACTACAATCCTTTCCCAAAGGGACACAAGCTGACCGCAAAATAAGGTTTCATTAAGCCAATGGTTGGCTCGTCGGCTTGACGGAGGTTGCAACAGCAAAGCCACTTCGCATCATAAGTCCCGTCATCCGTCAGCCAGCCAGCAGGCACACATGATTCTGTAAAGCATGCCAACGAAATAATGGACAAGTTGGTCGTCTTTAAAAATTGCTTCTGCATAGTTAATGACTAGCGTGTCAGTCGGACTATTTTGCTTAGCGGGTTCCACCAGTTGATGTAGGCGGGAACGAATTGTTTCATTACTCATGTCAAACATGGGTTAATGTAATGATTATATTGTTTTGATATGCCTTTCAGAGAGGAGACGGGGATACGAATCGGACCTCGTGACGGAGAAGTTGACGTCCTGCAAACCTGAGCGCGGTTACGGGTCCACACCCCCCTGAACTCGGTACTAGCTTTCCCCTTTCACTTACCCCAATAAATATGTCAAAATCAAACCAGCCTGGTTGTTCCAAGAGTACAAGGAACAGGGAAGAGGAGACCTACGAGCCTCGTCTTACATAAAGTTAGTCTTAGGAGCGGTAATTTCCAGGTAACACTTCAATAGCAAAGGTAAGTGGCTATTAATGGCATAAAATGTAAAAAGTACATTCCTGAAAGCTACAATTCCCACCCTTTTTTCCCCACTTAAAAAGATAAAGCAAACTCCAACACTTATGACGTCTATGGATGTTTCACTGTATTTTAAACATACACTGTCATTTCAGCAGAATGACCTGCAACCATGCAGTCACTGAATTTTGGGGTCTGCACTGCTTATTCGGAGAGCGACCGGACGATTGTCTCTCGTTTTAGGCATATTTAATCGTCCAAGTCGTTTCGTTCACATCTTTTTCGTTAATGACTTGCTGATCCTTCTGCGTGCTACTAATGCTCCCATGGTGGGAACTCGGGTGCTGCTCAGTGCAATCAAACAAACTATCCCGAACTTGGTGTTGTATCAAAGTCACAGAGGGAGGGTTATCGGAGTCAAGTCCACTTTTTCCACCTATTCCAGTCTCGTGTTCTGCAGGAGGCTAGTCAACGAGGAGCTGTGAAAGTATGGACACCTTCACCATGCTCCGACGAGGGCAGATGGCTGAGCAGTCTTGATAGTACCGGGGAAAAGTGGGTAGAGAATGCTAGTCATACAAAGCTACTTAAAACTGCCCGATTTTTGTACGTCTCGACTGTCACAGTGTAACGGTTATGCTAGCCTAGCTCTTGACTGCATACATGCATCCCATCTTTAATGCCCCACAGGTCAAGCATCGGGATTTCACGCAAAGATGTCAGCTTCTTCCACAGCGCTAAGTCATGCGACACATTGTTTGGGGGAGTACTTCAAGCGACCGTCCATGCCTTAGTGGGGGAGCTGTAAGTGACAGATGAGGAATGACAACTTTAAGACTAGCGCCTTGCGTAACCAGTAGATGAGACAACCTCGTTGTGGGGCCCCATCTGGTTTTGAAGGACATGGAGCCAGCGCATTCCCCTTCCCCTTTTACATTCGCAGACAGATGAGGAAACAGCAGATCTGGTGGATCACAAGACCAACAATCTTTTTGCAAGGAAATTGAAATGCATGCAAAGATAAAATCCCGTAGGGTTAATTTCGTTTGCACTGTTGCGTGTTAAGCTTTTATTTATACTTTGTGCTCTGCCAAGCGACGCAGCCAACCATGTATTGCATCTAGTAGAGAAGCGTCATTTCAGTGTCCGAGTGTCCTTTTAATAATTTATGACCTTTGCTGAGGCCAATTGAATGAACCAATAACAGTGAACTGCGTACAACCACTTGAAAAAGTAAAGAACTTTTTGCACAGCGGATTTTCCGGGCAACGGAACAGAGAGCACTGAAGGCAATTCCAGAAGTGACGAATTTTTCATTTCAGCAAACTAATGCTACCCTCTTCAATGAGCAGGATCCTTTCGGCTTAAAGCCTAACACAGAAGGCGTAAACGAAGATAGCGCAGTTGACTATGCAAACCACGGAAAGTGTTGTGGCGCCCCAAGTTTTTTTTTTTCTGAAAAGAAAAGAAGACAACAGCAGGATGAAAATGCATTGCCGACATGCAAAAGGGCTGGGGGTCAAAACATTGGTGCCCAGCGGAAGTACAGAGGCGGGGCTTAAAGTGCGCGCGAAATTAAAGCAAAGTGTTGAACAAATAGTTATAAGGCAAATGCATTAAAAAACAAATAGAACGAGTTAAGAGCAGTATGCTATGAAATACAAAGAATAGATGCGTCGCGTCTTATTTAAAACTGGCGTACTCCGATGACAGACAAATGTTCCTAGCTTTGTTGCCCACAATGAAAGTAACGAAAATAATGTTCAATATTTACCTCATGTTCTCAAAATTTTCTATCTCCGAGAAACTCTTGACAAAATTAGAAAGACAAATTTGGAATGGTCACTTGCTAAGGCGATTATTCCAATCTAAAAAAGAATAAACTTCATGAGCATTAACAGTTAGGCAAGAGGGTATTTAAGCCAGTTTAAAAGTACTAAATGAGGGGCTCATAGATATAATGAACGTGGAAATGATAATGGAGGATTCAGACACAAATCAAGGAAGGATTTGGGTTACTTGGTGGTGCATTAAACTCCGTATTGGATGGCCCAACTTGACAAATGATTTAGTTGTACACTCCTAAGGCAGTTGATCTAAGGGTCTTTTAGGTGTGCTTGCTGAAAGGGTTAAGGATAATTTTTAGTGATGACAAAAAGTAGTAGAAATCATAAGATCATAAGGCTTGCAAGTTTTAAAATGAATTTTTCTACTTTTAAAAATAAAGTAGGGCGTTAGATAGTATATTGGTGACTGTTTTTACCCCTAGGTTAAATGAAAGCAAGGCAGCAATTTCACGGGATCAACAGAATTAGAAAACCACCATGATTCACGTAGAGATGTGATGGAACACTACAAGGAATTCCGCTTATTAACAGCAAGACCAATGTCAGACTCCAGCATGCTCTTATTCAGGAACGTTTAATATGATTGGGAAAATGCAGACCTAAAACATCATAGTATCAAGCCTATTCTAAAGTAAACAGTTTTTGTGCATATGTTTTATGTAGTGCATCGTATCTAACCTGAAGGTGTAACAAATCAGTGGCGTGGAAGTAGAGATATTACTCATATAAGGAGTGGTTGAGAAGCAACTGGTATAACCCAAAGGCCATACCACAGAACTAAGGTGCAATCTACGGAGACATAGGTGTCCTTGTAGTTTACAGCTCAGGTAGGCCAAATATAAAATTACGAACTTCACGAACTTCTATATAGCCAAGGAAGAGAGGCTTTCTTTTAACTAATTTTCCGTTACATTAATTATAAGGATAGTTAGATTAACATGTACTGATATAGCATAGCTTCCGGGCCTTCACTGAAGAGTGTCGACCATTGGTGTACAGAGGGAATGGGTGGTTGCAGGTGTGGTAAGGGGGAATAACCAACACTCGCAAAGCTTGAAGACTTCGCGTAGTCAAACTTAGTCTCGAGGTAATGCTTATGATCAGCGGTTAGAGTAGCCAAGAAGTCACACTGGTCACTGCAAGGCCATGCTGATAAAATTAATGCATGAATCGTGGAAATTGTAGTCCGCGCAGTTCAATGTGTGACTGGAAGGAATGGTGGATCACAGCGCCATGTATAACACACCATATTTAAAAAAATGACTATTCCAAAAATTACTAAATTGCGAGATTGCATGATCTACTTAGTACAATAAATCTAATTGAATCTAGAATATCTGCGGCTAAGTGACTTACAAATAAAAAACCGCTAAATTAGGTTAGTCAACAAAAAATTAAGCATATTTTCGGCTATTCTACTGAAACATGACATCTACTACATTCGTGTTTTTCTCCATCGAAATTACACAGCGTTATTCGACACACTTCAGGAAATGGATTCATCCTACTTGAGGGGTCTAAGAGTCGCTCTCAAAGCATCTGAGGCACCACTGAAGGTGACGCTTTCTAAAAAGCACAAATTTAAAACTAAAAATAAGAGCAAAGGCGGTGGAGTGCGAAGTAGGGAACATGCTCATGAAGGCGGAGACATATTAACTTCAGAAATCCGGGCATCTATGTATTCTTCATTATTTCACTTAATCGTCGAAGATTCCGATTCCTGAATGAAAAGTTGTACAAGTGTTCAAGCGAGGATGCTTCACGATATTTTTCGGAGAACCCATCTGCTTTTAAGTTATATCATGAGGGTTTTCAAAATCAGCTGCAAAAATGGCCATACGATCCTTTAACATGGGCTGAAGAAGTTATCAGGAATGGTTTTAAGAAAAAACCAGTTGTTGCGGATATGGGTTGTGGCGATGCGCGACTCGCATTGCGCTTGGGAAAAGTAGCCACCGTCCATTCTTTTGATTTGGTTGCTGTGAATGAAAGAGTTACTGCCTGCGACATGGCTCATGTATGTGTTATTCTTGAAAGGTAGTATTCGCATTTATTTTATTTTCTGCCTTATTCTTTGTTGTTTTTTTTCCACTAAGACACCTCTGGCTCACTCTTCGGTAGATGTTGTTCTCTTTTGTCTTGCGCTAATGGGAACAAACTGTCGCGATTTCTTATACGAGGCAAATCGGCTATTAAAGATGGGGTTTGTTACTATCTTTACTACTAATACTCACTTTAGTCGGACTCTTCTAATAGTGGAAGTTGCTAGCCGCTTTGGCTTATCATTTAAAAAATTCCTCAGGCTTCTTAAGCCCTTTGGCTTCGAAATAACGCAATGGGAGATCACAAAGGACACATATTTTGCCCATGGTCGATTGTCTAAGGTGAAGGATATATCAAATCTGGTTGTGTCTAGTCTGCCGAATGTCACCATCAATCCGTGTTTGTACAAAAAGCGATGAAACAAGGAATTGTATGAATACATCTATTTTGCGTACCATCACTCTTTCTTCAGTTTGTTTGGTGGCATGCTTCAATTTTTTGATTTTAAGGGTTTTCTTTGCTAACGATTAGGCATCCATAGCAATTGAACTGAATTGGTGTAATAATTCCTAATTCAAATACAGTATATTTGGTAGAACCCCTAATTTGCATGTCTTACTTTTTCACGATTTTTGCATGTACTGAGTGACATTCTAACTAATGAGAGTTATAGTAACATTTAGTATATCCGGTTTTATTGGTTGTTTGAGGGCGGAAAACCAGCACTGATAAATCTTCTCATGTTCGTTTGAGTTTGTGGGCTTATAAGAAGTCATGTCATTGGCGGTATACCGATGCTAGTGAATGGATGAGTGACTGGGTGCATAAACAGTCTAGGGCTTGGTTTTCTTTACGCATTATGAGTAATTAAATAATTGCTTTTGTTCATCAATTAGTCAAACAAGTAAGTGACTTTACGATTTCAGATGAGTTAGCCAGCTGCTTGGTGAAAGATCGTTGGAACTGTGCTGAACTGTATAGGGTAGTTTGATTGTGTGCTCAGCTTCATTCCTTTTAGCAATGGAGGCTATAATAGGGCATGTGCGGGAGGGCAACCTGGCGGAGACACGCCTGTGGCTGGATATGACTGAGAATGACGTGAACCAGGGTGACGAGCACCGCTTCTCCTTGCTCCATTGGGCGGCGCGAGAGGGTCGTAGGGCAATTGTAGAGCTTCTTATCTCCCGCGGGGCCCGCGTTAACGCCACTAATCTGGGTGACGACACCGCCCTCCACCTCGCTGCCGCGCACGGCCACTACGACATCGTCTACTTCCTCCTCAATAATTTTCGTCTCGCTGTCGACGCGTCCAATGAGCACGGGAACACGGCCTTGCATTATGCATGCTTCTGGAATCACCATGAAATTGCTGAGGTTAGATCCCGCGTCAAGCCGGCACTTTTGAGGTTTTAAAACCTCTAATTTTAAGGCGTAAAACGGGATTTCTTGACACGAATTCTAACTAGCTGATACCTGTAAGGCTTCAGAATAGAAAAATTTGCCAGTACGGCTTGGTTATCCTAGAACAGCCTATCTCCATTCCTCATCTGTGCGTGTGCTTGAAGTCCTCTAAAGAAAGGAGCTATGGGGAGATTGAGGCCTGACGCCTTAGTTCTTGGTGTGAAGAAACTTGTCGAATGATCCTATGTGGCCGCTGCATGGATGCGGTCACTGGGATTATTTTCCGGTGCCCATAGTGATGAGGGTTGCCCGGACTGGGCTGGGTTGGATTGGATTGAGGTATAGCCGTGTGGAGTGACGCGGGCTGGTGCAGGTACGACGTGTTTGGGCTTTTGGGAGAAGTGATGTGCCATATTTGCCGATTCCTAGTCGGCTACTGAGTGTAGTGCCACCATGAAGGCGTGTGTTTTGACGGGTAAATATAGGACTCTATGTCCCTATCCGATGCGATAGTTCTTTTTACTTTGTGTGTCTGGTTAAGGCTAGTCAAGCTACATGCATTTATCTGTATTGTAATGCCTTCCTAGTAATCCCTGGGTCTGTAATGGACTTGCAATTGCAGAATGGTCTATTTTATGGATACAGAAGGGCTTGAAATCTATAGACAGGATAGTGGGAGAATTTGAGAAGGCTGAGGAGCTTGGGTAGTTGAATATACATTTAGACGAATTTGTTCTATTAAATAGGTTTCTTCTTTTGAGCGTCGTCCTCTCTGATCCCCGTGATTGCTTTTGTGCTCCATCCATGACGAGTCTTCCTTTGAACTGTTGTCATCCGTAAAATAGGAACAAAGGCCATACCGCAATACGCCCATTCCATTGGTGATAGTACGTGCTGAATAGCTGGAACAGATTTCTGAATATTGCTTGTTCTATAGGTGAAGCTGATCACAGAAGGATTAATTTGAGAGTTAGTACTCAAAGCCGAGTCACATTTTGCTGTAAGCCTACTTCGAAGGCCATTCGCTTCGTGGTAACATTTGGGAGAGAAAAACACAAGGAAGAAAAGTATTATGTCCTCAGATTAGCATAAATCGTTTCGTTTGGGGACTTGGTTATTGTGCGGAAATGGGAATTGGAGTCTTGCCAAAGGTTAAACTTTCCGTGTCACATTCTCACAGATTTGAGCCATCTACGGACGGTATCTTCCTTGGCTGTTTGGGTTTAGTATCCACTCCCTGTAGGATGCCTCATCATCAGCGTGCCGGAGGGATTATTAGGCCTTGCGTAGTTAAATACACCTTTTTTTACAGCTGTTGATAAAGTTTGGAGCAAGCCTGATGCAGGAGAACAAGTATGGCTACACACCATTGGAAATTGCGCGTCCGCGTGCAGCAGCGATGCTAGCACCGATGGCACAGAGCTACGGGGCTGATTTGACGCGTCGGCGACCCTTCCGAGATCAGAGTTGGATCGGAACGAAGACCCGAGCGAGGGATGCGACCGTCTATAAGTTGGATGGGGATGCCTGGGACCCGCGGGATGTTGAACTCTCTGGTGCGCTTGCAGATGGTCATGGAGCGGAGGTTCTGCGTGGTTTCTTCCGGAATAAGGAAGTTGTTGTGAAGATGCTGAAGCTGAGACATTACACTGACAGGCAGGTAGGTGGCTTCTGTGAGTTACTTTAAATGGAGAGGAGATTTTGAAACACTTACCCGCCTAGCCTGTGTGTTCATATAGTTTAGTTCATAAACCAAACCAGTTCATGATTATGGAACTGGTGCTTTTTTCCTGTGAGAAACACTGCTACCCGCATCGTCTTGCGACTGAACGAAGTAAAGATAAAAGCCCTCGAAACACGTTTGTAATATGAGGTAAAAGTCAGTGTTAGCTTCAAATCAGAATGTGGCTATCAACAATTTCCCAAGTAATTTTCCCATTACTAATGGTAACAATTGGAGTGACAAGCTATGCACTCTGTATCTGTTCAAAACGGTCTTTTTTATACGTTCAGCCCAAAGTTCAGGGAATTTGGTATGTTTTAGACGTACTTCTCAAGACATTTTGACCACTCTGACTAGTCACTTTTTGAGCCCTCATGTGGCTCACCAGTCATAGTTCCAACCGGATTACGGGTAATGGTAAAATAGAAAAGTTAGCTGGTTTCATAAGACTGACTTTGAGGTGCTTGTAAGGGATTTTTTAAGTTCACATTTCTTTGATGCAATTTCCTGCACGCCAACCTTTCGTGGACCAGGGCATGGATGAATTTATCGTCACCACGAAGTTTCCTCACTGATGTCTGCAACAGATGGTCCATTTTAAAGAAACGGTTCCAGAGTTAATCTTTTGGTAGCTTTGATGGGAACTTTTAACTGGGCGTTCCGAGTGCTCTGCCTCCGTTGCATTGGGGCAGTTATTTTCGATGACCATACGAGAGGGGAAGTTATCACCACGCCAACGGAAGGAGAATATAATAGAACGCTGTTTAACCATATTTAATGTAATTCAATCCCATGTTTGGTCCTCATCCCCATTCCGGGGTGATAGCTTACTTATACTGCAAGGGGAGTCGGTGTTTTTGAAAGAAACAGTCCCAAAACACTCCCTTTCTAGTGCAACAATTAAGGCTATGGAAGCTTCTTTAATGTACCTCTTGTTTCTACTGTAATAAAAGTATGGGAAGTGGGAAGTTGTCTTAAACTACAAGTTTGTAATTTTAAATCCGATCTTTCACTAGCTTTTTTCCTCATGCACTTTGATTGCAACTAGCTGCGTGTAATTTCCCTATTCCCTCACCGATTTACACATTAGAAATTCAACAAGGCAACACTTTTTGTGTATATTGACTCTGTTCATGTGATCTACCGTCTTATCCACGGAAATATTTTATTAACAGGCGCGTGACTTCAAGGAGGAGTTCCCGCGCTTGCGCATTTTTAACCACCCTAACATCCTGCCCGTGCTGGCGATTTTCAACGCCACACCACGCCTCTGTCTTATCAGCGAGTTCATGCCCTTTGGTTCGCTCTACGGCCTTCTACATCCCTCACCGAAATCACAGCAGCAACAACAGCAGGCACCACCGGTTATCTCTTTGCGCCAGGCTCTCCGCTTCGCCTTGGACATTGCCAGGGGCATGGAATTCCTCCACTCTCCCGAGCTCAAGGTGCCAAACTTTAGACTCAACTCGCGACACGTCCTTGTAAGTCGTCATTGCGATTCTAAGCGGGATTAAGCACAGTTGGAGTGGACTTTGCAGAAGGCAAACTGAGAATTTATCCCGCATTCATCTATCCACCCATCTCATTCCACAATTATATAATTCTATCTATGGTAGCATGAGGAGGCTTTTTACTTTTAATCTAATTTAAACAGGATATATTTGATTGTGCATGGGTATTGTGACAGTCCTTTTGGGTGTTCAGGAATAGAACGTTCGACTAGAATCTCAGCTTGTTCTCTTGAGTAGCTAATCAAATCTAAGCACTCCATTGTTGCGGGTTCTGCTATTGCTACCCGGCGTCATTGCCAGGTTCTTCACCCTTTTTTCTTGTGGCCGAATCGTACTGGTATTCATTCACAATTTCCCTAGTTTTTTTTCGCTAACGAGTCGAAATTAGGCTGAAATTTCATGGCTTGGTGTGAAGTCCTCATAAAATGGCTGTACTAGAATAGTTTACCTTCCAATTAGTTGTACATTTGCGCTCTGTGAGAAAGTATGCCTCTGCAGTCAAACAAACTTAATTCAACTGATGGGAGCATGCATTGGCTCTGCCTCAAGCTGGTGTGTAACAGAATCTATGGGAGGGCATTCAACAATATCGTCGAGCCGCACTCACACGCCGAGTGTGCATCACCAGCACGGACGAATTGTTACAAAAAACTTTTTCATATCGCTCTGTTTTATCGGTCATTCCGATTAGAAATGCAAGAATACCTTCTATCTTTCCATCGCTGTGCGTCAGTCCAGCCTGAGACACCTCCCAGGTTTCAACTGTCTGCTCTAGTGGTCCAATGTACTCGTCCACCTATTTTATTTCCTAGAGCTAGAAGTGAATCTGTAGACAACTAAGCAATATTGGTGTGTACTATCGTCTAGCCCCATGCCTACCCACATTTGATTGTTGAACTTTTTTCTATGACTTCCCGCCACCAATCCTGGGACTTAGTTGTTCTGGAAATAAAGGTAGATTTTGTCCACTTTTCATCGTGTTTCTAATTGGAGGGCCCAGTTTTCATCCACTTATGATGTCTCAGTGTTTCGCCCGGAGTACAACTGAATGTATTATAAGGCCTGCATACTTGGAACTATCGTCATGCAGAAGACGCATTCATCACATATTTGGTTTTTCCAAGCTGCTTATGCTTAACTATTTTCTTATTAATACTCTAAGCAGTTTTGCGGGCGATTTCGATTCGCTCTAAACTGTTTTATTGCATCGCTGGGTCTTACTCAGACTTCAAAGTTAGTTCATTTGCCCAAACACGGCATTATTGTGGTGATTTTTTTATTGCGAGTTTCTGCAAATTCAACCATTCACGGTAGATGTCATACTTCTGTGGTGTTTTGGTGTGGTATCTAGTCGTCAATGTGGCGCTAGAATTGTCCATTCGGCGATCGTGAGTGATATGGTTTTGGAATCGTTAGCCTACGGAATAGCTGAGACAAGTAGAATAGCTTTGCCACCAGTTCAGCTACCTGAGTGTGGGAGACTCAAAAGGCATACTCAATCAAAAATATACCTAAAATAGATTCAAACCCACTGTATAGGCTTAATCGCCTTCGATTCCTCCTGCTAGGTTGACGAGGATGTGGCCAAGATCGGCAGCCCTGTGGAGGAGGACATGCCCGAGGACGAGATGCTGACTGCGCGTCTAGACATGGCGGACTACAAATTTTCCTTCCATGAGAAGTTCAGGGAGTATAACCCCGCTTGGATGTCTCCTGAAGGTGCGTTTGTTACTTGTGGTTGAAAGTGCTTTATTTCAAATATCTCATGCCTTTCATTCTCTTGCTGGTGTTGTAGCTCTCCAGAAGAAGCCACAGGATATTAACCTGCAGGCCTCGGATATGTGGAGTTTTGGAGTGATTTTGTGGGAGTTGATCACTCGTATGGAGCCGTTTGAAGGACTCGATCCCATGGTCATTGGAATGCAGGTCAGTGTTTTATGCTTATATTTGACGTAAAATTGCCTCGCTCTGTTCATTAATCACTCTGATTAGGACTACGATTGAACACATGTGTTTTTAATTGGACCAGATGGGATATCCACACCCTTCCGTCATCAGTTGTTCCATTCTCTGGATGGAAGTCAGAAATTGTGTTGATGTTCCAGAGTATGAGTTCCACAAGTGTGCTATATCTCGGTAACATGGATATCTGAAGGAGTCAACTGACTGGAGGAGATGCAATCAAAGAACCAGACACATTGTCCGCGTTGGTCATGACGCTTTTAAGCCCAAAAACGAGGTTAAGTTGGACGGGCTGAAAGCACGTGAAATGGTAAAAAGGTCTTCCAACTGTTAGCTTTTCTGATGCAATTATCCGCGAGATCATTACCCTTACACATCTCTGTGTTTATAGGCATAAGTCCTTCTCTCACCTTGTCACCCCCTTTATTAGGGTTATTAAGCTCATCTTTACCTTCAATAATGACAAATACTGAAACAATATGCAGTAATTGAGAACTTTTTGTTCAGGCTTTCCTACCAAGGTGTTACATTTGTGTGTTTAGTACTTACGGTCGTCTGCGCTGCTGCAAATCTCAATTGCTACCTGCTCTTAAAATGCAAAAATTCAAATGGTGTTTAGGACTCACATGCGTTTAACACGGTGACGGTGACACACCTTCAATGTACTGGGAAACAAATAACAACGATCAAGATGAACCACCCATCAGCGACACTGACACTAAAACTAGGCACCTTGTGTGAACAGATAAAGGTGTTGCTTCGAATTTGAATTGATATGGGTTAAGGCGACCCATGCACGTTCGAAATGCATCACCAGAGGAAACGGGAAGGATAGCCAGTGAGCGAACGGGCGATAATTGGCTGATGCGGCTTTCAAATTCCACGGAGGTAATGGATGTTTGTTTAATCCATTTATTGTATCAAGGGGGTTGTATATAAGACAGTGGAAATGCATCAAAAGATGGTACTAACTGCTAAACTGAGAACACGAGACAATTAGGCAGTATTTCGTAAAATAAGAGGGATTCGTTGAATACGCACGCCTCGACCCAAGGAACGGCCTTGTTGTCTCGAGTTCCAAGCACATGGAGGGGGAAAGTTCAGGTCAAATCAGGGTTCTCTTAACAGAAGTCAATGAGCAAGGAATTTTTTTCTCTCCCGTATTTAAATAATAAATGAGAGGCAGCTTTGACACGGAAAAGTTGTTGACATGCCTGGAGCATTCTGGGGTCATTTACTTCATTTCATCATTGACAGCACCAACTGTACGTTGGAACTCTAGGAAAGCCCAGCTGTTCGTTCACCTAAAGATTGTTTTGTGTTTGCCGTTGTCATTGGAAAGATTCATCCCTTGCACAATTTCGCAAGTTGATTGTTTGTCGATTAACCAGGGATTCAGGATTAGGCAGGCGTTCCACGCTCACGTCGAATGATTGCTGTGCTGTGGGGTGTAAGTTTGGGGTGGAATCGCTACAGTCAAGAAAGTTAATGGCTGACCGTTTTGGAACACATACACTGCAAAAATTCCTTACCACAGAGTTGGTGAGGATCCCATCAAAGTGACGTGCGACCCGCGTAGTTTTGTGTCGTGTTGTATCATGCCGTATTGTGGTATGCTTAAGGTCCTCTATGTATGGGGCTCGACACCTTGGTTCTCGTTGGGAAGATCCTTATTGGATGATCCTGTGTGGTTATTGCATGGACGCAGCCGCTGGGACTGTTGCCTGGTGGCCATAGTGATGAGGGTTGTCCAGACTGGGCTGGATTGGATTGGACTGAGGTATAGCCGTGTGGAGTGGAGTGGAGTGCTGCAGGCATGACACGTGTTTGGGCTTTTAGGAGTCGACTGTAGAACTCGGTACCATCACGGAAGGTGGGTAGGTGTCCATTTATAATTCCTGATTTGATTTGGACGCTTTTTGTACATGAGGTACGCAAACCTTAGATTTAGACCCCTTTGCAAATACTTTACGGGAATTGTATGCATGACTGATGAACATTAATGTAATACTGGCCACAAATTTTAGGTGGCGACGGAGAGTCTGAGACTGCCACGCTTGGCAAGCATGGACGTGCGAATGGTGCGCTTGTTAGATCTCTGCATGAACGAGGATCCGGGCAAGCGACCGCGCTTTGACATGCTTCTCCCACTACTCGATAAAATGCGCGAAAGGGCCGGACAATCCACACCAACGCATTGACTCACCTCCTCCCTCCCTCTCATGACAATGCCTGCATCAATGCAACAATCACGACCAACAGCTTTTGGCTCCTGTGTTGTCCTCTCCTTTGCTTCTGCTTTCACTCGATTATCTTAACACTATCCTCGCCCCTCTTCCGTTACTTTTGGTTGCATCTGTCTAGGATATTTCAAATTTCTTACTAACTCAATACGATACTGCGACTTTTTGTCGAAATTAACTCGTTCTTGCCCGTTTTGAGCTAAGCAGAGTGGCTGTGCCCGACTCGCACAATTATTAGTGGATTTTCGAACCGTCTTTCATAAACTCTCATCTAGTATGTAAAATGACAACGTCCACCGCCCACCTCTGGTGTCGGCCCTCCACCCCCATCTGTTTGCATTCGATTGTGCAGTTCAGACAGCTTAGGTGTGGCTTTTGGTTGTCATTGTCGTATCCACCGAGTATGTGGATTCCCATGCAAAATGACGCGTTCTCGTTTCTTAGGAAGTTACAAGTAGCCCAATCGTGAACACAGAATACCCGGGTGCCGCAATCGCAGCGGGAGTAAAACTTAAATCTATGGCGATGTTGAAGCCATTCTTTGAAAGAGCTAGATGAAGCGGATTGCGCCACCCCAATCTCATCTCTTGACAATATTTGGGAGTTTTTTTGTCTAGTAGGCGTGACGCGCGTCCGGTTAATGCCTGAGAAAACTCAAAAATGAATCTACACGTGAAACAAATGCCGGAACTATTTCACTCAAAAGCAGGAATAACGTGGAGCTGGTCCCTGAAGGTGGCAACCTGTGTATGACACGCAAATGTACGACTCCATCAGCCAAACAGCAACAACTTTGGCACACATACGCCAGCTGTTTCTTAAATCACCTAAAAACATGGCAAATGCACCGCTGTCGCACAGATACCTAGGCCCAAAGCACCTGTTTAGCTTTAAAAGCAAGGCAAGAACACACCCCTTCACGTTAATGAGCAAAGCAGAATTTATCCAAATGACAAGGGGAGTTAATCAAACTAGACACAACGCGGTTGAACACCCCTTGGTACGCATAAAGCAAGGCAACCAACTCTTATAAAAAGAAATATACTTTTGGGGGGAATAACACATCTTGAGGAGCGATAAATAACCAGTCGAGTGATCAAAAACAGTGAAGCCTCAAAACAACACTATTCAACACAAAACATGGCCGGCCTTTAACGGACAGATAAACCTAGTTCGTAAAAGTCCCTTGTCTTTCATTCACCAACATACGGAGAAATTGTCACACAGGATAGCAAATCCGTTAAAATGCAAGGAATGGACCACGCTAAAACATTCCATGAACACCCGATCAGGAATGTTGTACATGAAAACGCAATAGATCGAGTGAAGTAAAACAGAAAAGAGAACACCAAAAAAGCTCTCCATGGAGCCACCCACTTAGAATTGTATTCAAAGTACATTACAATTTGTTAAAGGCAGCGATATCAACAGACTGAACGTAGTCTTCGAACTTCGAAATCTCTTCTTCAAGGAAATCGGTTCCAACCTATGAAACAGGAATGTGGCAATATAATTGTCAAAATAGCCAGAAAAAGCCGATGAACTCGTAAAAATCCAACCTTATCATCCTCAACAACGCAAGTGATTTGAAGTTTCTTGAGATTTTGCACAAGTGGGACCAATTTTGATGTTCCCCAGAGAAGACCGTCAGCTTGGATGCTGCGGACGGCTGCTTCTAGAGCAAGCATGTCGGTCTCGTCATCCCAAGGCTTCACATCGAGAATAATCATAGACTTGGCAATGGGTTTATCAGCTTTCGCAGCCTTCTTGGCGTTGTAGGCGGCAATGCATTCGGCATGACGCTTTTCCACCTCCTCGTCATCATCAGATGCAAAAAGATCATCACTGTCCTCATCCTTCTCCCCATTCGTTGCAGAAGTAGGTACTTCTACAAAAGCAACAAGTGTCAACGCAAAATCCAAGGCCTAATAAGGTCACCATTAAGAAGGACACGTCACCTACCGAGGGGACCGTAAGAATTCACATCTTTAGCCTCCCCTGGAAACCTTTTACGCTCGTCTCCAAATGAATTAATGTGATTGTACCAACGAAGAACGTTTAAGTACTTGGCATCAGGGGCATCTGCAACTGCATCAAAAACAACGGCGTCTGCTTTTGATGGCTGGAACCTAAAGTCAATGCAATAGATCACAAAGATGATCGCAAATAACCCTTCAATATAACTTCTAGTAAGAAGAAACGCATTGAGGCATTCCAAACCCTCTGATCGCTTGAGATCGCCGAAAACCATTACCGGAGGAAAAGCGTGGATGCTGCGAGTACAAAAATGCGCGCCACGACGGATAGGAGGCTGTTTACAGTCCTTTTAGTACTCCTCCAGCGGATATAAAATTTAAACTAGAAATATGTAATACAATTTACAAAAATATCTGAAAAATACAATTCGAACGCTTTATTCGTGGATACTAATTCGCGCCTCATTTGCACAGACCTAAAGCGCATGTTCATTAAAGCGAATTAATTCGATATTATGTTAATATGTGCAAATAATAGTTGGCAGCTCATATATGATTTAGAGAAAGTATTAAATCACTCTTGGAACAGCACATCTGTCAATTTGGAAAAGGACGTCGAAATGTGGTATGTTCCGTATTCCATGTCAAAGATTTATACCTCGTCCCTTCTCCCTTGGCCTTTAAAGCCTTTGAACGAACAGAATGACTGAGTGAGGACGCTCTTATTAATAATATTTAGAGCGAGGAGTAAGGTCTCGAGTGTTCACGTTCACAACACCAGTGTTCCCGACGGCCGATCCTTTTCGAGAATCGTGTTCACTGAAAGCTTCTCAAATGAAATGTACGTTCAAGCAAATATGTACTACGCCTATTTTTGACAAAACCTAACTGAGGATTGGTTAATAGGCTGTACCATTTAGTGCCTACTGGCAAAATGTAAATTGAACTCCGATGAAGGTGAATTGGAAGTATCCATTAGAAGAGTGGTTTTTAATTTTTCCTTCAAATCACATAATTGATAAAAATCAGGTTATTTAAGCTATTTCAAACTGATGAGAAAGCATTAAGACTGCAGTTTAGAAGCACTATCAATTAACGACACAATTACTCGTTTTGGATGCAGTTTTTTCGTGAGGTTGTTTGTGTCCCAAAGATAATTTATAAAGTAAACAGCGGAATCCTTGATCTTTGTTTAGGACCGAATGACAGGTGACAAAGGTGAGGACTGCGTCAGAAGCCTCCAGATCATAGTGAAATGCGCCTTCAGCTAATTACCACCAGCAAAAGTCGAAGGATGGATGGTCATCTAATTCAGGCATGGACTTCGTCCATGTATCACGATCGGGAAATTTTGCGGAGAGTGGGGGAAATTTTACTGTGAATAAGCGCGAGGATTTGACAAGGACAGCACAGTAGCTAAGGTCAACGACATGTGGTTCCATGCCATCGGGAAGGAATCACTATCGCATTTCAGGCGAACCAAAATGCTAATGTCAGCTGGTAGACCACAAGCATTTGGATAGTTTTTTTTGTTTGATCCAAAACCTAAACATGCCTTTGCTTACTCACAAGATCTACTTGTTCTCCCTCCTGCTACTGGTTTGGCAACAGTGATACTGTTAAAACCTGAACGCCCCTATCAGCGCCTTTGTGCTCCTTTTACCAACGTAAGACGAGTTTCATGTCGATAAAGCTGCCTTAGGAGTCACACTGTTATAAGCGTAGAGTAAGGTTGTCGATAGGGTAACAATGGGCCCTCACGCTTTCCCACAGCCTAATCACAATTGTACATTTCTCCTTGAGAGAAGTCGAAGGGATGTGTACCCTCTTCAATGCTTGAACAGTGGGGAATAGCATTTTATGCGCCCATAAGAACGCATCAAGTTCCCACCAGCTGCCCCTTTCTGGGATCGCTTATATCGCAGTCTTTTAACAAATTGGATAAGAGCTCTGGAATGCTCTGAGACAGCAAGCAATGAGCCACTTCGACAAATTGACAATTAGGGTATAAGTACTTGGCATTTGGATCATGGTACCTTATCGGGATTTGCCTTTAGTCAGGCGTTCCCATTAAGTGTACTGTTTAGCCCTTGCACGGTCTCTTTGATGAGGTTTCCCATGAAAGGTGAGTAGCAAATAAAGTGTGCTCTATTTGGAATATCCCCTGATCTTAAACAATGCTCATCGAATGAACTCCTTCAATTCCGGATGGACAGATGGAATTTCATTGCAGTCGCTGGGTTCCACCGAGAGTAAAGATAATCATCGGTTGCGTTTCGTGACTGCTTTTGGCTCTCCTTATCTATTGTTGCAGAAAAGTAAGTAGAGCGTGACGATTTCGACTCAAAACGCAGTAAGAATGTGGAGCCCTGCTATCCCCGATACTCGTGCCACCAATCATCCAGCCCTTCTGCAAGTTTATAATGGTAGACACTCCCAGATTGCAGTGTCTCACAACCTACTTAGAGGAAACCCCGATGTTATAATTGCATTCCTCTTCACCTCAGTGGTCCACTAGGCTAAACACTTTAAAGCAGTCCTCAAATTGGAGTACACTAAAACACGGTTAAAGATGGTTTACACAATCCAAACGCCGTTATAAACAGATAAAGTAAGCAGTTTTTGTGGATTTATTCTCCGTTTGCTCGTGAAGGCAGCACCGGATACAACGGGAACTCGGAATTTCCATTGAATTCATGCCAGAAATCATATCTACTGGAGGTGCCTGCAACTCCAGCAATAATATTCCTGTTTCGAGGCTCTAGAAGTGTCACTGGCTTCCTTTGCGTGCGGTTTGTGCTCACCTGATTAGCTAATACGATTTGGAGTCACACTTTAAATACACTGATATTCATTTAATGTCAAGACCATCCAAGATGATATTAATGCGTGGGAAAGGTGAACACCCACGCCCATCAGGACCTCAGTACTACGATGGGGTCGTGCCCCAAGTACGCCCGGGTTGTCAGCAGTAATGACCTCGGGTTTGAAATCTTTATTCCGACGGTATTCGGACTCACTCACACACACGGTGGTCTAAGACAAGATTTGACTGTTTGTGCAAATACTAATTCCTACTAAGGCTTCTTACATCCTCAGACGATTACCAGTTAGTCCAAAGGAATTTCGCTTGTTACAAATCGAAGACGAAACTGCAACTTTGCAGAATCCATTGGTCATAAGGGTTATGGGAAAGTCTGCCCTAGTATCTGGAGGAAAACAATTTAAATGAGAGAAGTGCGCGACAAAACTTTGAAATAAAAGGAGGGGTAGTAGTTCTGCCTAATTTCAAGGCTGATGCTAACGGCACAAAAGAACTGCAGAGGCTAAGTACGCGTCATTACATGCGTGAAATGAAAAGCGAAAAAAGCTACATTCTCTATTATCTTTTACTCCAGGACAGTCAACTAAACACATCCAATGTTCACCCCTTGAAGTAGCGTTCTCGTGAAAGGACCTACAGTGGTACGGCTTCAATGCTCGCGAAAACTCATCTACTTCCACCAATCTCATAAGTACAAACTTGCAAAAAATATTCGCAAATTCAATTTTCATGTAGGGCAAAGTCTTTGAATTTCAAGGGCGTAATGAAGGCAGGATGATATTTTTGTAACAAAAAGTGACCATAACAGGAACCACATTCGGAAATATTACACTCGTAAAGTTCTGATATGAAATTCAAAAGGCAGAACATGAAACAAAGAAATGCTGCAGTACGTTTTTAGGCATACCCTTTAGGCAACAAGCTGAAGATTCAGACAATACCGTCAATCACCAAAGAAGGTACAATTCTTTCTTCACTGCAAAACTTTTGTCACCCCTGTAGTCCAAGCTTGACAATACATTGTGTTTTTAACAATTCAGTTCTCACTATCCACCACAGAAGGAAGAAGATTAAAAGGTGCTATGCATGGTATGCGCATTAACAAACCATAATCTAAATAAGGGCACCACTTAGATACACAGAGAAAGATGAATAATTTCAATAGCACAAAGGGAATAATTGCAGACATATGAACAGGCATAAGTATAGCGTCTCAAGACTCCCTAAAGACGAAAGAAGGCACCATACTCGGGCAGAATATAGATATTCAGCACAGAGAAGGTGTCTGGGCTATTGGCAAGGTCCGAAAGGCCAGCCCACCCAGCGAGGTACAAGAGGGCTAATTCAAAGCACAGAATTGGCGCCTCACCAATACCGAGAGATAAAGCACTATCGTATTACGTAGCCCCCCTCCTCTTTCGACCGTCATCCCCGGTGCTCCCGCAGGTCAACCTCCCGCACCAGCCATTACAACGTAGTCCGTGCCGTGAAGAAACACCCACAATCCGACCGTACCAGTCACCAAATTAGCTTGCAACTGAGGAGATACTTGACCTCAACGTCACTGATCCCTCTTGGCAGCTTAACTGGATCTGGAGTTTCATCCGGTTTAGGAACTTGATTCAGGAAGGGGAATTGCGCTGGCCATTATGCGTGTCCATAGATGGATGTAGGAACACTGGCCTTAAATTAGATTTGTGTAAGGAAGGATGGGCTTTAATACAGATCCATGGGGGACAGTAGGGAAAGTCCGTAACGAAACTCCCAGATGGTTCACGGCTAGCGTCGCTTCAGTTGTTAATAGCTTTTCTGCAGAACACGGGGCTGGGATAGATGCCAAAGATAGACGTCAACTTCAACCCTTCTATTAGGGTCATCGCCATTGTCCCATCCGTAGCATATGCGCTTCTTCCGATCCACTAAGGCTTATCAGGCAGAAGCGGAAAATCAGGATACATGTCCTTTAAGATCGGATTGGCTTTGCGCTGCCACCAATGTAGCGTCCTGAGACTCCCTGAAGATGAAAGAAGACACAATACTCGGGCAGAATATATATTCAGCACAGACAAGACATTTGGGCTACTGGCATGGCCCGAGGGCCAGCGAGGCATAAGTGGACTAGTCCAGAATACAAAAGTGGCGCCTCACCAGTGCCAAGGGGTAAACCGCTATCGTACTACATAAGGATGAATGTACAAGTTGAGTACTCAGTAAGGCTAAGAACTTCACTTTCAGTTCTAAGGAAATCTAATATTTCAATTCAGGAAAGTTGTGAGTTGAATTTTCGCGAATGCTCAAAAAGTGCTAATTCTTACATCAAAACTACAGGTCATTTAGCCTCAATATTACTTTATTCATTAACATTAACACACGGATCTTACTTTTCATATGTTTACATCCGAAGACGAGGATGTGTATAACCTCTTACTGGTCCATCGTACAGATTTTTTAAAAAGAAGGATTTTGGTAATTGTCTGATTAATCTGTTAAACTCGAAAAGGAAGAAAGAAAGAATAGTATTCCACTCAAGCCAGACAGAAGAACGCGACATACTCAAATATTACCAAGGAGGCTCAAAGTTGGATAATCGGAAACATTCATAGGATAATTAAAAAAACCCTAATTTTACCAACTAATAAGTAATGTAAGTCACCGCTTTATATCATTCATTAATCTGAATGGCTAGTTGACTGACCTTCACCACATTGACCTTGGACTGAGAATTGAGAACATGAAACTGTTTCATGCATGAGGTGACTTTAGGTGCGACTCTATGACTAGGTCTGAAGTTAAACTAAAATTGCTGTGTCACCCTCGAGTTGACACAAAATCTCGTGTTTCTGGTAATATGATTAAGACAATTTGAGGCTTAGATGATGTCCTCTTGGATTCCCGCGATAATCATGGCATTCTGCCTGGGGACATAATTGAGTTGCGGCATCCTGATCATCCGAATCCCACGCTCTTTCTCGTTAAATCCCTTCGAGAGGACTTTCAGCACAAAGGCAGGTCTTGAATATGAGTTTTATCCTTCTGTTCAGATGCCATAAGCATTGAACAGTCTTTAGCACAATCAATTAAATTGCAGCCCTATAAAACTGTTTCAGTAAAAGTGGTCTTCAAAGGGGTAAGTTAAGTCAATTTAAATGATTTATGTTAGGATGTTTTGTTGGATTTTGTTGAAATAAGCTTCCGTGACCAATACTACGGTCGTCGTGATTTGATGGAATTCACGAACAATATGGTAACCCAATGCGTTTTTACTACTATAGCTAGACCGACTCTATCGTCCACCTAAACACAATGCTTGAATACGGTGTCATGAGGTTGAGTGTTTCGTCTTTGCTCACTCTGTAGGGGCTATATAAGCGAGTTGTGGCGAAAAGGTGAAGTTACCTCTTGTGGATACGTATCCGAGCGAACTAAGGTTGTTTTTCTTTTAACATATATAGCAAAGTAAATTTAGATTTTTTATCGCTCATCGTCTGCTGTTTTTCATATATTCATTCAAATGAGCAAGGAAATGTGGAACTTTGACGAATTTGGTGATTTATTTTTTGAGAAGGGTGTTAAGTTTTTGCGTGAACTTATCTTGCAATCTTGGACTGTATGTTCCCTTTTCCGTAATCCATTGCTGTCTTAGAATATGTCTTGTACTCATGACGTCACTTTGATTCTATCAACGCGTGTATTTGTCAGTGCTCCCTGTAAGGCTCCTTTTTGTGTATTTAACGATCCTTTAAAGCCGTTGAAATTCCAGAGAAGAGCGTATTTTCCAGAAATGCTGATGGTCAAGTGTATGTGGACTTTTACAAGTAATGTTTACTGCCTATCAATATACCTCATCCGTCAATATTGGGTTCGATGAATTCATCGTTCTTTATTTTATAACCAGGGTCATTATTCACAATGAACGATATTCTATTGAAGAATGGAAAAAGAGCTTTTCTCAGCTCATGTTAGCCTTCAAAGGCTATGAGCAGGAGATAAGGAATTATGTCCTTAGAAATCTTCCCGGTATCAATGATTCCAAACACGTGTCTATTCGCCTTTCGACCGCCAGAGAGACCAATATTTTGGAAGGGCTCAATTTGGCTCTCTCCAGTGAGTTCATTCCCTTTTTAATCGTATTTGTAGGCTACGAGTGTTATAATGTTGATCGAAGTTTTGATCGAACTGGCAACGCTTGCATTGTGATATCTCCGGGCTGTGGTGTCTTCGACGCTAATTGTGATATAGTCTCATTCACTAAGCGACGAGTGCTTGATTTAGGTAGGCTAAATTCCAAATTTAAGCCGAATTTCGTAAATTTGTCCTCTTTTACAGGAACAGTGGTCCATTTAGTCTGTTTGGGTCACCAGCCTCTTCACGCTGTTCCCCTATTTGTGGTAAATATTCCTTCCATCTAATGGTAAACTAGTTCTGTTTTTAATCACGTGTTTTAATACTTTTTAGTGTCGGGATTTCGCAAATCCGGCAAATCCCGAAGTGTACATTGTACCACATTGGATGAATCACAGCTTTTTCCGTTCTTCGCGGGAGATCTGTGCTCTGAAGAACTCAGAGACTGTACCTCGTATAAGCGTAGGTTTTCAGGAACAGTTAATACTATTTTGATTGAACCAACATAATAACATGTCTTAGTTTGATTAGATAGCTAGTTTTGTAATTAACACCTCGTGTCGTTTCACACTTGCCTTAGATGTTGTGTTTTCAACTTTAGGTGAAGGCGCGAAAATTTAAGAAATCAGGGTATGTTTAGTCCCCAGTTTTTTTTCTTGCTACGAGAATCGTGTTTTAATTGTTTAAGAATTTGTGCGTGTGGTATAGAGGTCCTAGTAATTAATAACAACCATTCTAGTTGCTGTGATTACTCCATAAGATGAAAGAACAGTCGCATACTTGCACCGGAGAAACGTAGCAGTGATATTGGGTTTTCCAATTTTGGCAGTGACTCATGCTATTGGCGGAAGAATTTGGAAAAGGAGGGAGAAGGGGAACATGATCAAAACACTTTGCAGGGCATCTTCGAGCCTGCCAAAAGCCTTCGGGAGCTTCAACGCCTGCGGCGTAGGACGCTCACAACTTTGGTCTCCACAACCATGCCTGGCAAGACTCGTCATCGCACTATCTCTCTCGAAGAAGAGCTACTCTTAGCATCGATCGCAATGGTTAGTACCAGACCTATGGAAGGTGGTCTGAGCGCTTCAGAACTCGACAGCTTTGGAAGCACTTCCTCAACACACGGTAATTGGTGTTTTTTAATGTGTACTGGTTTTGTTTAAGTAGTAGTTAATTCGTCGCCTTCTGTGAGCTAGGATGGAACGTCGGTGCACATCTACGCTCGCGAACCCAAAGCTATATGTGTAGCGAGACGCACAGCCCGCTTGGTGGAAACCTGCTGCTGACAGACGAATTTTCTCCAGAGGCTCGGGATGAACCTCCGTGGTTGACACTCTACGGATATCCTACACCGGAGAGTGGTTGCACTAGCGCTGCCAAGAAAGGCCTCGGTACTATTAGCATGCCTTCTTTGTTATGCTTCTCTAATCACTTCGTTTAGGTGAAAGAAATTACTCGAACGTTACAGAGGCTTTGATTCGTCGAAAACCTCAGGACCTCACACATTCTTATCAGAGCGGAAGCAGTTACCAGCCTCAAGTTCATAGCCGCCCCTGTAAGAATGCCGCCGCGCCTGTGGACTTCCTTGCCGGTGCCTCAGCGTCGTCGTGGCAGCCGACGGGAGATAGGGAGGTGGGAAGACGTCAATCGCATCCAGTGTCGGCAAAGAATGCAAGCAAGAAGCCCTTACTGCTGACGTCGACTGAGACGGCGGTGGGGGGAGTTTTCCGAACATTTCCCTTTGGCATTCATCCACAGCTGTTCGGTGTCCGTAAGACGACTAGCCAGCGGCGTTGGGGTCATTTTCATACTACAGGTGAGCTCTTTTCTTCAAGACTCCTGAATACCTTCTTCAACTCACCTCTGTCAACGTTTTAAAAATCCTCGAGAATTGTTTGAATGGTGTATTCGAGAAGACTCATGAAGTATCATAGGGTGGTCGCACTTTAAACAGATATTATTTTTCGGGAATCCTCTTTAAAATGTGCAAATTAATCAATCTGTTACTAATTAGTGGAGTCAATGAGGGTTCAAGAAGTTTTACACTATCCAAAGCGGTTTTCATCCCTTTTCACAAAGCCACATTTCTCCATAATAAAGTTTTTGAACCCCCCATAAAAATGGTACCTTCTTCACTATATTTATTAAAAACTGACGCGGATTTCTAAGAAATTCGCTTTTGTGCTTCATTGTTATTACTTAACCTAACGGTGCCGTAAATCGGAGCATTGACGATTCTAACACGAAAATGCCTTTCCTGTAGCCTATTCCGCTTGTACTCTTCTGATTACGTGAACCATCCCTCTTGGTCGTAGTTCAGATTATGCGATTGAATTGCTATAAATCCTTCACACTTCCCAATGAACCCATGGGAGAATCATATTCCCGTGGAACAACCCTGCTAATAATTCCTTGTGTACGTAAGGTTGCTATTATTCCCTATTAAATGTGGTTTTCATAGAGGAAGCTTCGCTGGCGTCTTCAGGGGCTCATGCTAAAGGGCGAGAGTTAGACACAATGCACTCGGACACCACTGGCTGTTATTCCTCCTTGAATTATCTTCACATTTCTGCAAGTAGTGCTAAAATGAGGGAATTTTTTGAGCCCACTTCAGTGTATGTCAATGGAAATGTTTGGTGATTTGCCATTGGTAACCTAAGAAATGTTGAAATCATTTAAAATAGCTTAATTGGAATTGGAATGCGCTTAGTACCTTTCCAAATTGTTAATCAACAATCGCGACTCGTTGCATTACTTGACGGCCCTCCTTTTACTAAAATTTTCATCTTAGTATGATTCCGAAAATTGGTTTCTTCCCGCAAAACGTTTAACTGGAATTTTCGCGAGGCCCTGCACACCAAACTTATTCTTAAAGCTACAATTATTAGTGACAACAGCTGAAAAATGTGGAATGGCAACTCTCTAGCTTTGTTCACTCTCGTTCACTACGCCTGGACCCCACTATAAGTAAAACTTTTAAGAAAGTCAAATTGCAAGTTTTGAAAAGAAAATTCATCTAGCATTTCGGAGGAACTTTTAAAAAACACCTTTGCAGCAATTCTGTAGGAAAATATGGCTTTAAATTTGATGAATGGATTACTATTCACCCAATTTGGGCACCCGGGTTTATAAAGTAGGTTCGCTTATTTTTTACCGTGAAAAAGCTAACTGCAGAAAGCTTCCTACGATATTCTATTCCGTCAAACAATCACCGGTACAGTCCGCAATTTCTTTTCAAACACATACAAGTTACTTGGGGATTTCACTTTTACAAAGGGTATCGTCTCACTTTCAATGACCACCTATCTTTACTACTGCTCGTGTCATCATGTGAACCACTAATATTAATGGCAAAGAAGTGAGGCAATCGTCACTTGGAGCTTGGAGAAATGAAATCAAGGTCAGTGCTTACTTCAAA